GTAATTTATTGTGCGCCGAATTTCATTCGGCACTCCGCTTGATAATAGAACTAAGAACCGACAAGGATATATCCTCACTGCCTTCTCCCATAGTTTGATTCATTGTGTTCCACTCATCATGCTTACTTGCGTTGACTTAAACTATTTTACAGGCATCTAGTAAATAAATATAACACCCGTCCAGCTTCATCACCATCATCAGAGATAGCAGCATCAGTGTGAATGCTTAAACTTAAACTTTATTTTCTGCGTCCTCAGGGGTTGGAAGAGAAGCTTCACGACGATGCCTTGTAGTGCCAAACCGAGTTTTATTTATCCGCTTTCATGTAGTTATATGCTGTCGAGTAGTATTGTGTTCGCTGCACTGCATTTGCACAAGTTGAATGAACATTTTTATAAAGCTTCAGACAGTAGTGTACTCACATCTGCACATGAAACCCTCACTGAGGTTGTGCACCTTTCAACACAAACGCTCCGGCACGCAGCTGCTTCAAATCCAAGATTGCTGACAGATGATAGTGTTCATCAATGGACGATAGAAGCAAATACACGCAGTATCGGGGTTCGAAACCAATTCGTAGAGCATATTTGTTAACCAGGTGAAATTAGTACGTTTCACGCGAGGCTATTCATACCGTTTCGCCAATACCCGCTCATTGTCGATGATCATAGTGGGTAAATGGCTAACTCCTGACCGAACCCTAACCAACTGTTAGCCGACCAGTTGGAGTTGGCCATGTGTTTACTAGGAATGTGCAGATCCACTATCCTCTCAAATGGCCTTGCATGGCATGTAATGAGCGTTCGCATTGGCAACGCCGGGAAGAAAAAATCGACTTCTCTTGGAGTTCTTTTTCCCCCGAGATAATGGCATGCATCTTGCTTTCGTGAAGTTTATTCATCGATGTGTTATATATTGTATTATTTTACGGCACATAATACTTGTTTATATCTTAAGCCTCAAAATTAGCGCCACCGTAGCTCTTCTCCTCTCTAGCCAGTAGTTATCACGTTTCATTTATTACACTGACCATGTAGGTGGTGCAAAAACATTCAGGCGCATGTCAGTCTTATTTCTTCTCTTTATTACATATGGGTTACAGCAGTGAAGCGTCAGTGTCAATACTGATGTTATTGTTTTTGATAATTATACATATGCCTTACTAATTCTGGAACCAGCAGCATCCACGCAACTGTGTGCGGAAACGAAAACTTTTCATTTGAGCCCAAAAGTCTTCGTATGCCTACACGGATATAAACCTATTCAACCAGTCGACTCTACTGACTAACCGGTTTGATTTAGCGTTGTTTGTCCCCTGCTAAGGTCTTTGGATGGGAAACTAATTTGCTTACTGGATGGCCGTTGGGCATTCATAATGAATGTCCCTAGACGACGGGTTACTAGGGAAAGCCTGAAGAGCAACCCGATTGGCGCACAAACTTCCCAAACCCCCCTACGTCAAGCGGGTAACAAGGCCTAACCTCGATCACGTCCTGGTTGTCCCATCTTTGCTTTTCAAATCCCACAAAACACCAGTCAGCTTTGCTACTGGGGGAAACTTTAGTGGTTAATGCTGTTCTGTTTTGTTAACTTGGTACATCTACAGAACAACAGCCACCAATCACCTTAATCACCACTTACTCTCATTATCCAACATCACTAGCCAATCCATCCTTCATCATGGCGCGTCAGTGTGACATCTGTCACACATAGGCTCACCTGACTCTGACGATGGTGCCATCAGGGATTTTGTCTGGCAACTGGGTCTTGTACAAAATGCCAAATAAACGGGTATTATCCTTCTGTAAAGAGGTTTTATTCGTGAAGAGGAAGACGTGCAACTCTGATTAGTACTTGGTAATACGATGTGTCATAGACAGTCATGGACCCTTTCTGATCTGAGCGCTACGTTTGGCTGTGCAAAGGCCTAAGTGAACGAATGCCAACCATGATAGCGAGCGGTTGAGATAGACCCGAGATTTGATGGCTGCTTCGGCAGTTTTGCTCTCCGAACCCTTCGTACTGCTTTGTAGCCTGCATCTGGCTGTGCACAGATCAGATATCTACTTTCTGGTAAGAGCCTTGCGGTCCTTGGAACATCTATAGCTCACAGATGACTATGTTACTCTCCATCTTACTCCACACTCATTTGCAACACCTATGGCGTCAAAATAACGTATCCCTACATCTCAAAGGGTGTGTATGAAGCTACAGTACGGGCTGTTTTGCTCTTCAGCTGTTAGACGTGGCCTCTTTGCACAGCGGGACAGACGACTTCGTCAACCTTTCTTCTCGTAACCATAGCTGGTGTCGGTAAATCCGGGATGGGACACTTAGAAAACAAGTGTTCTTGTGTGCAAAGTGGACTTCCATCAAATAATGTGTCTACTACCAAGAGCTGCGGTAGCTAGAACGTGTGTTGCGAGTACAGAACCACCGTCTTTTAAAGGGAGTGCCCCATTCAGAGTAGTGCAAGCAGAGAAGTGACCAATTTTTGGCTCGGCACAGGGATATGAAGGAGATTACGAAAAGCCTGGGTGGTATCGGTGTGACTCGCATTTTAGGATGAATACCACGTGATCCGCACTGTACTTGGTTGGAGACGCTGCAAGATACGGTCGCTAATCGAACGTAGTGTTGTTCTTACTGTCTGTTTATCTAGATTGCCTAGTGAGTATCTGGAGGTGTGGAAATGATAGCAGTAGGCTGGCACTAGTTTCTCTCCAAACCACTTCTATTATTTTCACCACAGAAAGCCTTTCGGAAAAATAACGTTTGCATGGCAGTAAAGCATCAGTGTTTAACATTTATGCTATACCGAAATGATAACTCGTGTCTGCACGATGTCGTTCTTACCCTTAAAGCACCCGACCATGACGTCCTAATCTGTCGGAAGACGGTATTGCTCAGGGTTCTACAGTTCATCTCAAAGACTTTCCAGTGTACTTGACTGTCATAGGTCTCTACGCTCTCACCTCATCCTACCTTCAAGTCTGAAAATTTCGCGCGATAAGCTCAATCGAGTGGTCAATGGTATGCCGAACCGCGATATCCTGACAGTTACTGGCGGCTCCTTTAGTCGACCCCTCCTATTTAGCACACGTTCCTATAAACCGCGTAGGTGTCTAGTTGCGTAGTACTCCACTGGTTTCGCATTGCTTCCATATTAGAATACATCCTAGTGGAATCCCGATGAAGGCTGTAGGTCCCACCATGAGGCAGAAACTGGTAATAAATGCGCTTCAGATCCTACTCTTATACGCGTAAGTTTTGAACTTTACCGTTCAATACACACCACGGCCCACAAAACGGTTTGACGTCATCAAACTTGGATACCCAGAACAGTACGTCTGATCCTTGGTTGTGGTCACCAATAAAACCGAATAAGGAGAATTTCAGTTCGGAACAGGTCCTATTCTCCAGCTAGTACGTCGTTTGCAAACATCAAGCATGCACCAAACAAACATTTGTTTTATTGACTTCCGTGCAGCATATGATGCGTTCAAGGCGGAATATTTTTTGTCCCTCTGGAAAGCCGATAGCTTACTGAATCTCGCCAGCTCCAACTTCTGTACAGGGGTCGGACGGAAGCAGCCGCCTTGGCTGCAAAATTTGGTGTTCCACAAGGCTATATGCATTAATTTATGCTTTCCAATAGTCCGATCGGCAGAGCTTTGTCACATACCTTCAGTCACCTTTGGGAGTTTGAATCGCGGACTCTGAGTATATAGTCGTTCTAAACAAAATTTCAAGGGAAATGCGGTCTAACCTTGTTTGCCTCCCAAATCGCCAAGGACGACTATAAATAGGTGTTCGCACAAATGACACCTGGATGACCACGCATCTTTGTACCGTCTTGTGAAAATCGACCTCCAAACAAAGCTGCACACATGCGCTTAGGCTGTCCAATCTATAGTACCATGTGTCTCGGGAGCGAGATGGCCCAAGTGGTTAGAGCGCGAATTTACTGACCGAAAGGTCCATGATTCGAACCCCACCCCTGCCACTCGACTTCCCCTGTCTAGGCCTGGGCGACCTGGCAGTATCCCAGCCCTCGTGCTCCCTTCGGGTGGCATGGCAGCTAGGCACCGGAAGGGTGTTACAGCTGAACGATTATTATTTATTATTATACCATGTGTCTCGGAAACTGCCTCCTCAAACTGATGACCTTAGCAGAATTGAAGCACTTGGCTGTTGTTGCTCACGACGGCTGCTGAAGCGAAAGGGAATGCGGCTATAATTTACTCCCCCCAAATTGATCTGACATTTGGAAATCTCACTCAACATTGAGGTATGATCTTGAACTTCTGAGTCTTCATGTGTTGTGCAGCACCAAATCATCTCTATGGTGCTGTTTTTGTACCTTGCTGATTATCACGCTCTGTCAACATTCTTGGAGCCGAACCATCTTTCCCCGGAAGGTCTCTTGCCAATCGACTGGCATAGTTTTGTTAACGATACCTACATAATTCCTTTGCTGTGCTGTCGCGTGGTCGTATATTCCTCAGCTCCTTGAATAAGCCATCGTAGAGCTGCGCACTTTTTTGTAAGTCTCAGTGCTCCACTGTTATCGTTGACTGTATTCGTTTCAAACGGTCTGAGAATCTTGACGAAATGCGCTCATTTGCAAATTACACGGGAGTGGGTGGCTCAAGTGAACCTCTCGTTTAAGGTATTCTTCAACTGGGTGCGCTACATAAAGGCTGCCTCATACTTCAGTTGGCATGGTATTCGAGGTATCACAGCACACTTTTTTGAGATAATATGTTACTCATAAAGTTGTTAAAAACTCTGACGATTATCACATCTCACTGAAGTCGCGTTCCGGGAAAAGGTTATCATTCGGAGTGTACTGTTGGAGAAAACAGATGCCCATTGTCTTGTCCCAATAAAACCAACAAATTTCTTTCATGTCCCCTGTGTTGACTTCAGTTTGTGAGATCTGCATATTTTCTGATCACGAAAGTTCTTTACAATCATTTTTAGCTCAATGAGACTAAAACAGATGAACTCACTTATTTAATCCCGTTTCCCGAACGGCTGAAATGCTGGATGAAAACATTGATCCACGCCTGACACAAATCTCCCCGAATAGTCAGTCGGCCGACTTTCTACCCGTCGTTCCTTCCACCAGTGGATTCACGGCAGAGGCATGCCAACGAGAGAAGAGCAGCTTTTCTGGTTCGGGTGCCAACCGAATGGCTCCGCTTTACGGGAAGAAAATATTCATGCACTATGACCCAGGAACGAGTTCAGACAAGTATTTGGAGAGCGTCTTGCGGAAACTGAAGGCGGTATGTTTCCTCCCCGTATGCATATTTCTCTTTTCCGATACCCTGTCTTTGTTCGTTGAAGGCATGTTTTCGATTATCAGGCAAAATCCTGAAGTTGGTTATTTTTGCGAAAAAGGTCTCACTACCGTTTGTTCCACTTTCAAATAAACTACTCATACGAGTAAACACGCTCCTCCGTGGAATGTCGAACGGTGAGACTGGACGAACTACTACTGTGCCCAAACCAAACAGGTCTGAGTGTTTTTTGCGCACCATCAGTTGCATCTGTTTGGACAGTATGAATCAGCAATAATAACTCACGTGAATATCTCACCAACCTAATCTGCCGCTGTCACAACTGACTTGGGAGACCAAAAAACAAATAAACTTGCCTACTATGTTGGTGTGGACGATCTCTGGTGGTCTTGAGTTCGAAATCGTCCCAGCAAAACGGAAGGGGCGTTTGTCTTGATGGGCAGTATGTGGATCAATATCCTTCTCACACCAACATCGTTACTTTCTGGTCACTTTGTTCCATCTCAACTGCCTACAACACTTGGGAATTACTTAGGCGAATTAGGTCGATGTTTCCTGTTATGTAGCGTGAGTTGTCCCATAATTAGCCTTGACAGACGGGAAATCGCCCTGTTAACCCTCCGGGATAGGTACCACCCATATGACCGGCTGGTTGTTATTTTAACTCATGACGTTGAATACGTGGCACACTATCCTGTTCTCTTCCAAATTTTCACCTAGCGCTTGTGCATGTTATTTATCAAACGCTCAAGTCCAGTTTTCATAAAACCTTTCCAAACCTTTTGTCTCACTGAGCTAAGTTGACCGGCTGGATGACTCCTAGATAACCGTTTTGACAGATTTGAGCGCTTTCAAATCGGCTGGTGAACACATGTTACGCCGTATACTTGTCGTTGCAAACACGAAAGAATACCTGTCTGCCCTTTAGGCCACTTCACTTTAGTTCGGCCATTTTCAGTCATGATGCTGAATATGAGGGACAGCGGAACTTACAACGAGAAAGTCAAATATTGTAGAGGTGACGCAAGGAAAGTTTTGGAAATCGGCACAGTTTAGCGATGCGGGAATTAAGTGTGAGGAAATGGGGCTTTTCATAGTGTACGTAATCATCAGCAGTACTTCAGTGTTGAACACCGGTGTTTCACCGCCGTACAGTCGTGATATATTTGGAGTCTTAATGTGGAAAGCGGAATGAAGTGGGAGTTGCAAAGGACTAGTACCAGACTAACTAAAAGCTTTCTGAGTTGCTCACATCTCCAGTCGTTCAGACGTTGTCATCATCCAACACACACTCCTTACACCGTCTTTCTTCAGGTTCAGGGAGAATCATGTAGGTCCTATCCTTGAAGGCAGGTTGCAGCGATAGTACCCATGTTTTCTGTCATCGCATTACTACTCTTCTGACGGGCTGAGCGCTGGTCACATGTCTGCTTTTATCACTCTGAATCAGGTACAAAAAAAGCACTCTTTTTGACAACGACGACTTGGCATGCTCAGTGCATGATCAAATCAAACACCCGTGTTCTAATTGTCTAATTGGGTGTTTGTTGGCACAAGCCTACGTGAGCTGTCGATCTAAGACAAAGGCCATAAAAAACCCCAGGACATTTCAGTTCCGCCGTTTTAGGACACCACATCCCACAAGACACTCGGTACTGTAACCTTTATGCAGTTCGTCAACTCTGGAACTTCCAGCTAACTCCATACCGTCATCGTCTATTTTTTTGAAGAACGTTATCACAAACAAAAAATACGAGTGATGGATGTGGAAGGAGAACATTGGATAAAACGAGGGAAACGTTCCTTTCAAAGGCATGCCGTCAGCAGTACTCCAGTCAGGCAAAATGTATGTCAGAATCTTCGGCATGGAAACACGCGTAAAGACCTGCAACCGAAAAATGTCAAACAATACTCAATGTTCTACAGAGCACAGTAACGCCAGCACAGTCAAGACTCGCACATCTGGCACAGGGTGTCCGTCATACAGTATCAGATGTGTAAGCCGATGACAAGAGTGAACACCAAACGCATAGATGTGTTCGTAGGCAGACAACCGACCTGGTGAGAAAACACAAATCACTGACTGTGACCTTAGGTAGTGCCCGTCCAACACCATCCTTGGCGGTTTGAGGAGAGCAGATTCCTCGGTGTGAAATGACCATTGCTTCGTGAACCAAAAAAAATAAATATCAGTCATTAGCACTTGGGGTTGAAACGAAAGCAAGGGAACAATCCTCGTTCCACATTCATCCCGCGTCACGGTTCCTCGGCATCCCCGAATAGCGAACAGGTGGAATGAAAAAGGTACCATAGTAAGGATCCCTTTAGAGACAATAAAGTAAACAAAACACTCATCCGAATGTTGGAAACGTATACCATGTGGTCTTCGAGCAAGTTTTCTCTCGAACTGTGGTTAATGAATGTGATAACCCCGACCGGAACGTATCTAATTGAATTCGGCTGTCGAACTAAAAACTTAAAGACCTCTGCTACTTGTTAACTGATTATCCAAGAGACAAACGAATTTTTTAGCGGTGATTTCGGAAAAATGTCCATCGAAATCGGTGTCGCTGCGAAACAAACGATATTCGCTTTGCCTCGATAATTGGGAATTTGCACAGCTTTGCATAGGCTGCGGACTGTTGTCACTCCCTTCTGATCTCATCAACCGCGTACAACTTACAGTCAAGTTTTTTTTTAATTTAAAGAGGAATAAATCCGTAGATGAAGTCAATCGATGTGAAACAGTCAAATCGATTTCTTTACTGCAACCGAAAGCTGATTGCGATGTCAAGGTCTTCTGAGCTCGTAAGCTCGGTCGGTGGTGATTAATCATCACTAACTCATTGTGTTGAGACTGAGGCTCTCATTCGTGTTTTGAGGTCAACCCGAATATATCTTGCAGCTGACGAGGTCGGTTTTCGGAATTGGTTGCAAACTGCCAGTCAGTTGGCCCAACTAACAAGGCACGTTCACACAAGCTCCGGCCCCTTCTGTCAACGTGATTTCCACCACCACTCGAGTAAATTTGCATTCGACGTATGAGACAGAGGCGGTGTTTGCGTTTTGTGTTCTAGCCCCCAGTGTGGCTTGTCGTACAAAAATTAGGAGTAGTTGGGCGGTTGGATAAGTGTGACCAATCGCAGCATGTCTTTTGTGCTTAATCACTGGTGCGAAATACTCGCCTTCAAACTGCAGCCTAATGAAGACGTCTTTGTCTGTAATGTGAGGGGATATGAGAATTCCAATAGGGATTTCGTCCTGTAAGTGAAGCTAATTTGTGCTGAAAAGCTGATCAGCACTGTACGGCATTGCCATCCTCAAGAAGAATCGCCATCAATGCCCATCTAACGAGGGAGTCTCGAATCCGCCACTTCCTGATTAGTAGTTTGAACAAAGCCGTTCGGCCACCACCAGCTGACTAGCAGTCTGATTAACTCACACTTAGAATGTAGTGCTACTCATTCTTCAATCACGTCACGTGGTCACATGTTGACTGGCTCCTCGAGTGACAATTTCTCAGTTAGAAGTTCACTCCTGTAGAGTTTGTGCGCTCACCGCGACTTCCTCTAGGAGGTGTTCAAGCCGGAAGGTTTCCTTGACACACTGCTTTATTGGCATTTCACGAGCAGGAGTTAAACTATCCACCAACCAACGTGGTAGTTTATCATGTGCGGATTCATGCATGGGATTCCATCTTTTTGTTTTCGGAGTCCCATGTAGGCGTGGAGTTTTGCGGCCTATGAGCTTCTGTTGGTTGCAAAGTGCACTAGACGTGAAACCGTGTACACTATGTGAAATTTCCATCCAACTTTGTTAATATATATATATATATGGCGCGGGAGCCTTTATTTGGCCCAATAATTGAAAGGTCATCCATTTCGTTGGCTGTTTTCGTAACGCCTTAATGTTCTTTCGTAAGACAACACTTTTGAGGTATCGATGAAGAGAAAAGTTCGCGTACGATTTCGAAGAGTTTCGTTATTTCCACCAACCTGATGACAAGTTTTCCAACTGGGCATAAAGGTTTTCATATCACACCCGTGCCTCGATGCTGCCAACATTATTAGGGATATCTGGATTTCAGTCTCAAAGACGAAATTTTCAGTTGTGTTCGTGCAAATGACCAGGTTTATAGGTTTTTGACCGTATTTAGGTTTGATCTGGGGAATGCAGCCATTGTAGGTACAAAGAGTGTTTGCGTCTTGCCTCTGGTTTTCTGCGCGATTTCGTGGGAAAAGTTCTCAAGCTTTGTTCATTGGATGAGAGATGGATTTTCTACATTGCTGCTGCCTCGAATATTCCGGGCTTTGGTCTAAGAAGCTGACGAACCGAACCACAATTTTTTCTTCGCGTGATATCATTGCCTCAGGTCACATATTCAAGGGTTGGATACCACCGAATCAAAGGCAGTATTCTTCACTGTCATTTACTCTTCTTCGAAAAAAATCTCTGCGTCTTAACTCATCGTTGACCACAGCTGAACTCAGTGTCACGCGAAATAGTAGACGCAGGAATATCCAACCAGTGTGCAGTGTAATAAAAGTCGAATTTCATGGTAAATTTGAAGAAAAACTCGGTGCCTATGTATCAGGAACGACTGGCAATGGGGTGTCTATCGGCCTCATAAATGATATTGGGGTGACTGTTTTCTTTTGTGTCCCCAGAAACTGAAGTTAGATATACATATGGGGCAAACTGCGTAGCTCGTAATATGTGTGAGCTGTGGAAGTAGTGGGTGAGTTCATATCTATCGGACTCCTACTTTTTGAGTTCGATTTATGGCTTGTGTTGAAAACGTTTTCACTTAAAAAGTGAAAACTCACTCCTATACTCTCACAGGAGTCCTAAGTTTCAGCACGTCATAAGTGAACATTCGCAAACATTACATTCAGGTAGTTCTGGTGTTCAAGACCAATTCGCTCATCTTTACAGTCCTGTTCATCTATAGGTGTTTCCTAATTAAATTTCAGGACCTGGTCGACTTCTTCAGTCGTGACATTCACTATGTCATTTCCAATCGACCACAGTCGCGAATACCTTCTCTCAGTCCGAGTCTGACTCCGACTCACAACGGTTCAAGCAACGCATCGCTTCCGAAGCAACCGGTTTCCTCTGCTGGCCGCTTAACGAACGTTCCCTCGTCCATGGCTCTCAAAACACCGTTTTTGCCGACTGCAAAGACCGCCAGCGCTGCCGTGACTCGTGGCCGAGCTATGCTCATGGCTGCTCGGAAGAGCACAGGCTCCTTGAACACCACCAGCCCACAGGAGCCCAAACCCTCAGAAGTATTACGTCAGGTATTGAAAATGTCGTTTCCATGTAATATGATGGACTGAATCCAAACAGTTGTGCGTCAATAAGGGGTCCACCCGCTTGACTGAACAATCCAAGCATCTTAATCGGAATATGTCGGCCCCATACGACCTAGCATAGTTACCTTGGTGTCCACTCAAATGACGGGTATGACCCGCAAAATCGAGCCCTCCAGTGCTACCATAGCTTCAGTGGTTCCTTCGTTCCAGTATCACTGTCGCCCTTAAAGCTGGCCCTAGATCAGCGTTGTGTAATTCCGTGCCGAGCATCGTCCGAATCTTTTCATCCGCCTTTGGTGTTCGCGAGCTGATCGATAAAGACTCATTTACCTGTGATACCCTTTTGGGACATGGCTGCCATGTAGACCGAAAAAAGCACCCGAAAAATACTGTAAGGTTACCTAAACCCAGACAGTAGCTGTCAGAAGTCCAAAGTTCGGTCCGAACCACGGTCAGTATTAGCGTTGAGCTATCTCGACCAAGCCACTCGTCACACAGTCATCACCCCTTATCATCTAGTTCGAACTGATGTTGCCGTGGCTGACTCGCATTTAAGCTTTATTCTGCATGGGACCACTCTACTTAGCTTGTTTTTGTGTTCCATGCGTTGACCATGAGGTATCATCCACAAAGTTCACTTTACTAACCCACTTACACCGCTGTGATATTGTGTACACATTCTCGTGGAAATGTCCTAATTTCTTTTCAAGGGCACTTTCATTTTGTCTTTGTCCAGGTGGCATTCGTTTTTTTGTTGGAGTGACCCCAGTAATCGTGCCCAAGGTGTACAGTTAAGAACAGGTTGCACAGTTGTGCAAGTCACTAATTAGTATAAAACAATAAGCGTTCAGCTGTGGCGCCCTTTCGGTGCCTAGCTGCCATGCCATTCGAAGGAAGCATGAGGGCTGGGATACTGTCAGGTTGCCCAAGCCTAGAAAAGGGAAGTCGAGAGGTAGAGGTCGGGTTCCAACCACGGACCTTCCGGTCAGTAAATTCGCGCTCTAACCACTTGAGCCATCTCACTAATTAAGCTTCGCCATTAATTGCAACAACGCCTGTTCTTCCCTTGTACCACAGTCTCTCTTTCTTCTAAATCATTCGTGTTGTTCGAATACATGAGTCGAAATTTTTTCCAGGGAGCAATCAGTTCCCCCGCTTTCGCAACTGCATAAGCGTCTCAAGAGATAGTTTCCTTTCACTGAACACTACACCACCACGTTCAACTCTCCGGGATTTTCACGTTGGTGAGGTCACATACTTTAATTTTGTATCACATTGAAATGATTTTAAATACTCCATCTTCGTTTGGTTTCGTAAAGTACACAATGTACTTGGTCTGTCTTTCTGTCTCTGCAAGCTGCAACCTACAAACACCAATTCTTCTGCTGTGGCTACCAAAACTCCAGACGGTGGACCGTCGAATCTCAGAGCACAAGAACTGACGGAAACCAGCGCGGCTGCTTTGTGGTCGCCATCTAATGATCTCTTGGTTCGTGCTCGACGTCTAGGAATTCGCATACTAACTGTTGAAGGTGAGTGTTTTGTTCTTCCTTCTCTCTATTTTCCGTTAATTCACTTATCCTGCTTCTTTCAATTTTTGTATGCATTCATGCACAGTATCTGTGTGCTTTTTGTATCAAGTTTTACATGTGCTGCGTAAACTGGTGGCGAGTAATCAAACTGAGAGTCGTTGACTTGCATCCACCTGTTTCGTGGAATGGTGATAATCGTTCAGTTGCTAGGCCACCTGAAAGGAATACAAGGGCTAAGATACTGTCAGATTGCTCAGGCCTAGGCAGGAACAGTCGAGAAGCAGAGGTTGGGCCCGAACCACTGACTTTCCGATCATAACTATTCAGCTGTCTCGAGCTCGGTTTCTGGTAGGGCTGGTTATACTCCCAGTGGTGAGGTCTACATTAAATCAAAGGCATGGTACGTCATCCTGTCTGTCGACTAACTGGTCTAAATTACCAATGTTATTAAACTGGTAAAATACTGAACTTGATGCATGGTCAAATTTAGACGGGAACTTTGTCTTCAATATCGCTTAGGAAGCCACTGATTTTTATTTTCACTGTTTTCCGCGACAAACCAGTGCTATTCACTGTTTCACTGCGAATTCCTAGCTCCCGAAACACAATGGACACAAACACTACAAACTGTCTTTCGCTGGAAACATATCTTTTTGACTTTGCAGTTGATGAAGTGCAGCGAACGCAGGGCGCGTTTTCTATTCTGCAGGCTAGTTCATCCACCCCATAGAATCCCCGATAGACTTGAGCAAGCTACCTGCTGTGTAGAGTCAGAATGCACCGGCTGAGTGTTCTAGAATGACTTCGCATGGTGAGTTTGTAACGTGCTTCTGGCGAAGACCAAACTTTCCTAACCGGTTCAACATAATTCGCTTCTGTGAGGGTGATGAACTAGAAAAGATGGCGTTCGCGTTTCCAGTGCTGGTTGTTATGCCGCCCGTGGATATCGAGCCCGAGGATGTCCATCTCGTTTTGTCGTCAATTACAAAACTGAAGTGAGAAATCGAACTTCTACATATATGGAGGAGACAGTTTCCCGTGTACTTTACTTTCTTGAGCTCGGGATAGCTGAATGGTTAAGACGCGAACTTACTGACTGGAAGACCCGTGGTTCGAACCCGACCGCTGCCTCTCGAATTTCCTTGTTCTCTGAATCCTTCAGTTCATCCGGCAAGGTGGTGGGATCCACCGTAAGTTGGCGTCTTCTCTTTTGCGCACGACTTCACTAGGAATCAGAATTCGGCCGGCGACCATGTGAAAATAGAAGAATGAAGTGAGACCATTTCCAGACAAAAGCCTTCTCGAACGGTCTTCACGATATCTTCGTAATCTGTTTGCTTCTAGTTTCCGTTTCATTCCATTTCACCTTCCATTAGGTGAAGCGGATCAGTTTTCCTCTAGCAAAGATGACTGTTCGGCCGAGATCCATTCTTTTGGAGCTATGATGTCCAGTTTCATTAAAACGCTCCGCTGGATAGCCACAGACTGGTAAGCCCATTCGTCAGACACCCTCACGACTGTTTTTGCCTTATCTTAGGGAACTGAACATATTGGGGGCGGGGTGGCTCAGTGGTTAGAGCGCGAATTTACTGACCGGAAGACCCGTGGTTCGAACCCGATCCCTGCTTCTCGACTTCCCCTGTCTAGGCTTGGGCGACCTGGCAGTATCCCAGTCCTCATGTTTCCTTCGGGTGGAATGGCAGTTGGGCACCGAAAGGGTGCTACAGCTGAACGACTTTTATTTTACTGAACATATCTCACGGTTGCCTTTCTCAGGGAAAATTCGATGATGTTTGGCTTTCATGTGTCTAGCCAGAAGTACAAGGTCCTCATTTGTTGTTTGGCACAGGATATATGACAACATGCCATAGAAAACATCCTTGTCGGTTCCTGTGCTGTCCTCTGTTGGAGTGCAAAATGACTTGATGGGCAGTAATGTGTTCATCAGGTATATGTCAAGCTACTTTGTTCTGCCAAGTACTGAGTCAATCACTCCGGTCTTTTTCTGTTCTGGAATCTAGAAGGATTCCAGCTGTTCGTTGGATGTCGCCAGAAGGTGTGTGGAAGTCGGAGGGTCTCAGAAGATAGAGGCTAGGGGGATTGGGACAAGAGTAGTTCTAGTTTGGGAGTGTTCGCTGTAATTATCCGAATGTTGATAAAGTCCCACACTTACGACCGGTTTCGCCCTTTTTGGGGCTCATCAGGTAGGCGCAGTCCCCGGGTTTCCGTCAACCTTATGTTATACTTGAAACCAAATTGCACGAAATTGGCGAATATACACACATTTGCAAACTAATTTGGTTTTCTGGAGAGACTCACCTGGAAACCAGCTGAATCTCTCGTTTATGATGTTCTCAGGCAACTGAATGTGCTGCACCAGGCCGCCTCATGTTTCAGTCGCTACGATATTTGAAATATCGCGATACTTGTATATCTTTGTAATGTACTACTCATAAGGTTGCTGAAAATCCGCCGACAGCCCACGACCGGTTTCGCCCTTTTTGGGGCTCATCAGGTAGGCGCAGTCCCCGGGTTTCCGTCAACCTTATGTTATACTTGAAACCAAATTGCACGAAATTGGCGAATATACACACATTTGCAAACTAATTTGGTTTTCTGGAGAGACTCACCTGGAAACCAGCTGAATCTCTCGTTTATGATGTTCTCAGGCAACTGAATGTGCTGCACCAGGCCGCCTCGTGTTTCAGTTGCTACGATATTTGAACTATCGCATCGTGACACTGATGATCGATCATTACTTCGAGATGGAAACTTCTGGCTGGGAGCTCACAAAGTTCGCGTTATTGTTGCATACTTATAGCGTTCGGACTCAGGTTGATGCACTGGCAACTCCCTATAACAACCTCAGTACCATTCAGGTCATTTCGGAGACCACAATCTTCCCGACATTTTCGTAGGTTCGTTCCTCGACGCTGAATGATTTCAACTGGATCAATGAGTCTACGATTGTGTGTTGGTGAGGTGATGTAAGTCTGCACAGAAGAACAGCGTAGCGGGATACATTGTGCTACTGGTAAGAAAAACCAGAAAAATCCGTCAATGGAGTACGCAGTTTGAAACATCTGATTTGCGCCTCTTGAAAACTGGGGATGACGCTGGAAAATGTTTCGCAAGTGCGTGCCATGTAGGGCGCAATGGGTAGCTAATCTGAGTGTGATTCATTGTTTGACATGGAGCCGGTGCTAGATTCCTCTGCCTAAACACCCTGTTGCGCATGGAAATAATGACAAATGCGCCACAAAGGCTCACGGCCAGATGTGATCATATAGCAGACAATCGGTCCACTGATCATTCCTGGTTTAGATGCTGTTATTTCCGGTCCACCCCTCTGTTCATCATGCGCCCGACAAACCGTGTTACCGAGGTTGCTGGTAGCGTTGCATCGTGGGGAGAAGCAAAGCAAACATTCGCAATCAAATCCATCCTTCACGGCACTGTCGGAAACAGGCTCGCCGCATACGCGAACTTCATTGCGGCGATTGTTATCGATCGTGCAAGCGTCTACCAGATCATTCATATTTGCCTGACAGCTCTGTTACCATCTGTAGGCTGCTTATCTTTCTTTGCTGCCTGTTGTTGCTGATAGCAGGAACTTTTTCTGTGATTTGATATTTGTCTCCTACCCAGCTTGCCTACTCGCCTGTATAAGACGTATCCTTCATTGTTCAGCCACCCTCTCTCTCTCTGTTTACCGCTTCAGCTGTCTTCAAGTGGATCCGAAACCTACCGTCTGACGTACAAACTTACATACAGGTAAGTCTGTCTTTATCTGCTGAGATCCACTGTCAACTGATGTCACTAGCTTTTCTGGTCAAAAGTCCTAACAGAGAATGTTTCGTGGTCTCTCAATTAAGGTCCAACCAGCATCTGCGACACCAGTAAATCAGTCCTTTATAACTTTGTCTCGTTTTCATACGATCTTGCTGAAAAGAGACGTAATGACCCGCTGTCCAACACGGAATCAAGATATGCACGTACTGTGGATATATAGCAGCAATGCGGGTCGTCAGCGGTTCGCCAGCCATCCCGTGGCCTTTGACGGCCACCTCAGAGTGGCATGGCCAGGCCAAACAGCCCCCCGAAAAGGGATGGCGTGCTTATTGTTTGTCGTGGTTGAGCAGGTGACACTGCTAGCCACTCAAAACGGGCGGATCTGGGAAATAACTCCACATTTTAGACACCCAATTACTCGAAGCAGACAGCCTGGTCTGGTTACTATTTGGGGAGCGATTTTTATGTGACCGAGAGGTGATTTTCATCGATTCTGAAGGGTGGACTATTATTTACTTTTCGCTTGTTCTCTTCGGCAAAGCGAAGCACCGTCATCCTGAGTTTCGTATACAACTTTTAGTCGGTTTAAATCTGCTTACCTTCTGATATAAGAGGTGGTCGTCATCAGCGACAACCACACGAGGTCGCACAGCGTCCTCGACGGGGAGGGATGGAAGGTACACCACACCGCTTGAAGACCAGATGCTGATTCTGGGATATTGTGAGCGCTTTCCACGGTGGACACCGGCTCCAATAGTATGTCAAGCTAGCGGCACAAGTCAGATTCCTGAAGTAAGTGTGTCAAACGAACCAAATTCAGGTAGCAGGTTGTTGTCCCACAATGGAACCACGCCGCACGCCAAAATCACCATGCTCATTGCCACAGGATCGGCATACCAGGTAGCCCCTTGAGCAGTCACAAGTTAAATCAAATCAGCGGCTGGATGAGCAGCATCCTCAAAGGCGGTGTTCGGAGGTGAGCCGCTCCAAGTAACCGATCGTGTCTGTTGGACGGTGTCGCAAGCCGGTTACGGAGCGAACGGAGGTATACTCTGGTTGGTCAGAGTGTCCGCCAATCAAGATCGAGCATTTTCAGCTAGGCGCTCTTGCACCATCACGGAGATTTTAGCGTGACCTTTTCGAACATTCCATGATGACCCTATAAATACAGTTGTTATAATTTTCCTGTTTCAAACCAGCATATTGGATGGGACAGCAAGTCGAGGACCGACGTGGGAGTTGCAATGCCGTTCGCAGGATAACAAACTTTCACAAATCATTTTCACTTATTCAAGTGAAGCTGTGTAGTGGAAAGAACAAGATTCTATAAGGATCCAGCCCAAGCCATGGATACCATTCACCGTAACAACCTGGATAGAAACCGACAGCACGGACGTCAACGGCAATGTCACCAGCTAAGCAAAATATTCACGTGGACCCACCCTAGAATGCGGACAGCACAAACGGCGTCCACAGATCATTTCGCACCACCAGCCACCAGTTTGTCTTTGGGGTCCACGCATTCTAGTGCTTGTTGATAGCCTGAGCGTGTCGCTATATTTGACATCGTCTCCTGTCCTGCGTCACTCGCTTGTGACCGGGATATCCATCGTGCTGAGCGGACCCTAGCAGCATGCGCCCCTGTCCCGTTGATGACTGACCATCTATCTTTCTACTTCGACTGTGCCAGTTATCACTTTCCCGTGCTTCTGTTGTTGACATTTGGGTACAAAATGTTCCTCCGTGAATTGTCCTGATTTCTTATTGTTTGTTCGCCAGCATTTGACAACAGATACGGACCCAATTCGCCACTTTGGTGACGGAATATGACCTCCCGAATGCACATACGGAGAATTTGAGTTTACTAATTACTGAAATTGCGTTTTATATGATCTGATCAACTTCGGCGACTCTATCCATATGGACGTGAGAAGTTCAGTTTTGTTGCAGACCAATTTTGTTCTTCACATTAAGGCTTTTGAAGAATTTTGTCGTACGGCAGCTAAGCATCCATCGGGAATACTGATACCGTGCTGTCGATGGTGATGTCACGGTCCATACACTGATTATGAGATCTCATCACCAAAGACTCAGCGTGTATGTGAGGTAGTTTTATGATTCTAGCCCCGGTCTGCAGCACACCAGTGTTCAAATCCCCGACACCATACCCCTCTTCACGATGACGCGTGGAGAAGGCTTCTCGCACTCAGCTGTGATATTTAACATCTGTTCAATCGGTTGACCTGTTAAACACTGGTGATATCGATATCGAAGTGTGATGTTGATCGAAAATCCTCTGGGAACTTTGATCGGTGGGAATAACTTCTAGTAATAAACGCGACTCGGACGGGAGCATCGAAGTCGGTGCATGGACACTGATGAAATAAAACACTGCTGAAACCAGGTGTATGGGTAGTTTCTGAGCTGATCGTGTGGGGCTTGGACTACCCCGAGCAGTTTGATGAAAAACTGGCAATTCCGCAGCGATTTCATCTCCTAGAATAGCGTAATATTTTAACCAAGAAATAAATAAATTGGAAACATTTCTCATTGAAACTAGCGTTTGCAGGCAAATCGTTGCAACGTGGAAACCGACACGAATGTTCGTCCGTGACCGGAATGCTCCATGTCTTGCGGCGTTGATAGGTTATGACATTCACTGCAGTCTCTGCTAAGGGTGGTGGGTTAACAATAAATGGTGAAGAAACGCCCGTCTATTCATATCATCGCTTGGTTCCGAATGCGGTGACAAACTTTTCGCCTAAGTTTTATTGTCCTGTTTACATCCCATTTTGAAAGACTCATTGTAAAGCAAAACGAAAAGTTCCCAGTTAAATGACGTCACTGTCCAGTGGAACTTTGGCCGAAGGGCGGTAATCATTTGTTCAATACTATTAGTAAAGTGAGAAGGTTTCGACGGAGCACATTTATTTCAAAATCACATTGGTTTCAAGGCGAGACTTCGCGAAATATTGGAGTGTATTTAACATAACACACATAACAATACTGAAAACTCTATACAATACCGGACTTGTCCTTTTTGAGGCTCATTTGATGGTCCCCGAGTTTTCTTCAACCTTGCGTTCCGTTTGAGCCTAAATTGAGTGCAACTCGCTAATCACATTCATACTTTCTAGTGGAAGTCTCAAATGAATCCCATCTGAATCTCTCGGTTGAGTATACTGCTCAAAGACCGCTTCATGTTTCCTAAGTGTCGTACCAACTGAGGGGACCTTTGTGTAGCGAGTTCAATTAGAAATATCAGAAACGACAAGTTCCGCTGGGATCCATTTTTATTTTCCATTAACGTCGGCTTAGTTTGTAAATGAGTGTATCTCGTGAATTGCATTCAGTTTGGGTCCAATGTTAATGGACTATGCGTGACCACCCCATCTGATAAGTTGCCAGAAGGGTAGAACCAGTCGCAGACTGTTGAATAGTTTTCAGCAAGGTATTGCGTATCGTGTTATTTGTTTTACTGTTTTCTGTCTGACAACAACACATAACTACACTGGACTCTTATCTACGCCACTAGTGTGTGATAACGGATCGGTCATAGCTATGCTGCAGTTACGGCGGGCATGCATAAATAGTCAGTCAAAGGTCAGTCTCAGAAATCTCCTCATATTTAATATTTAATTTAGTTGCGGGCACCTTGAAATTACCCACTTTTTGGCCAAATTTTCCACCCTGCTGACATTTTGCGTGGTAGTCTTCTGTGTATTCGAATGGAACTGAAAACAGGATACAGTCATGAGCTCACGATGGCTCAGTGGTCGGGGCTCGGGGTCGGGTTCGAAACCAAACTCTGCATCTTGACTGCTCTTTATTTAGGCTTGGACCATCTGGCAGTTCCTCAGCCCTCTTGCTTCTTTTGGGGAGCATAGCAGATATGCATCGAAAAGGTTGTAGGGCTGAAGGACCCAGACAGTCATGCGAGACTCTGATATCGACAACATGTCACATTTTTTTCTGAAACATGCATTCTCGTGAAGGTGTACTAGGCACTGGTGTTGCCCCGCATCGACTAAGGTATCGCCTTGGATGAAGGTTATTCCTTCCACAGGGTCTTTCTTGACAAAGGTATGCTTTTCATTGCGAGGAATCTGACAGAAGGACCCGCCGCTTACCAGGAATTTTAATCACTTTTTGCTGGATGATTTATTTCTATGGTTACTTCCTAATGAGCTTGATGGTGCTTTTCGCCATATCCACTTCATCCCTTCCGACGTCATTCCTTGCTTTCTAGTCAGCGGAGGGCGCAGACAGTGACAAGTCGATTGCAGATATTCCAGACGATCCTGAACGGGACCGTGTTTGTCAGGGTGGGTCATGAGTGTGTGTGCGCTAACGAATCATCGACCTTGTTGGTCATGTTTGTCTACCTCTATTGCTTGTCATCATCAACAAGATTGCTCATTCCCAGGCGGATGTATCCCGTCTTTTTCGTGGTTTGTGGAAAGTTGTGCTTATCACGAAGGAACAACCAAGTTTCACATTTGTGTATTTATGTCTCGTCTTTTGCAAAACCCTTTCATCAGAATGGATAACTAAAGGTGACCACACTGTGAAATTGCATAATATTAGATTATTAAATTGTGTTGTGGTATAATATATTGTATCAGGTTGTATCGTAGCGTTACACTATATTGCGTCACATTATATTATTCCATAACATATCGAATTGTTATTGTATTATTTATTATTATTGCGTATAATACATTATACCATAATAAATTGTTGTGTATAGAGGAATTCACTTGAGCTGCGAATTCGACTTGATGCCTGTGACTACTTATCAGTATGGTAGGTCGTAGATGATCACACAACGTTCATAACCTGTTTCGGAACTGCTTTCATTTCACTTTGTAATTCTTCACATATTTTTGACAAGGTAACGAATGCAACTTTGCTCATAGCGTACGGTACGTTGAGCTAAGGCCACTCAACAACAGCAAGAGATAGGAAGTATCCTGTAATTCTAATGAACGATGAATGTGAACTCACTTTGCAGAATGATCTCTCTCTTGTGAAGATGACTTTAAGTAGCTAACATTAGCTCTTTTTCATTTTTTTCCAGTCCGTCACCTTACCACTCCTTGCATCAAAATCTTGGATATTTCTGGTCAGACAAGACCGTTGTACATGGACCGAACCGACTATTTGCCAGGCTTATGGAACCTTCTATCGCATCGCCCCGCCAAGACCAAGGAGTCCCTCTGTGAGCTATCCACTAATGCGGGTAGTGGCAGTGTTCCTGCGGCAAGTCTCGGCCGAACTGGGGCACCTGCATCCCAAAGTCACCCAGCTACCGCAGCGACCGGAACTCCGTCGATCCTCAGTCGGCAGACTAGCCGGATGAAGCGTAAACAGCGTCTAACAAAACATCACACGTCGGTCAAACTTGCTCATTCGCTCAAACGTTCCACCAGTATATCGGGGAAGATTGGCTGCCCATCAGAGTGTGTGCAAGCGAGGGGTATTCTGTTTTATCCTATTTTTACTATAATTGAGAACCCTATGAACACCAGAGCGGACTTTAGGGCATCGCCTAAATTGTATTCCCAAGTACTTCAAGTGAACTCATTGTTTGTTGATCTGTTTACTGAGCTTGGTAATTTGCAAGCATTTTGTAAACAACTGAGGAGACAACGTCAGTATGCCAATAGAGGGATGTTTTCTCTTCTCCAACTTTCGTCTATACTGTTTTTAGCATATATGTTGTGCTAGGTTTAAAGCAGCTTTCCTTTAATTTGTTCGATGTTTGCTTCGTTCTGGTCTAGCATCTTTACGTGAGATTCATTGATTGTAGGCCCTTATCTCTTCTGATGTCCTTTCCCTGACTTAATCGGTATTGTTGCGTTGCGCCCTGATTTCCCTTCGCTTGATCATGAAGGTGTCCCATAAATACTATTTCGAAACGTAACCACACACTGACGTCTCCTCGATAGATGATAAGACGTTTTCTGGCAACAGTCTAAGCTCGGCGGACAGATCAGCAAACGAGGCCCGTGATGTTTGAGTCTGGTGGAAGTGGAGTCGTCCCAGACTTTCTGTTTTCTTGACCATTTCTCTGTTGAAGCCCACTTTGCACCTGTCGTATTGTCCTTTTACCCTATAAGCACTCGAACCAAGCCGGCCGTGGAAGACGAACCATCGGGTTATTGTGAATGTTGCTCGATGACGTTTCCAAATCTTTTTGAGGTCAGTTCTGCTTTCCCTTCTTTACTGTTACCCTGTTTTTTTACTCACACATCCCTTATGTCTACATTCTTTCATGGAAGTCAGACTAAGAGTCTTCCGTGGTTAGTGTGACTTAAGTGAGTAGTGCCAACACGTCCCGTTGGAATCTTGCACATGTTTCGTTTGCCGATTAGCTTTGCACCAAGCTTTTTTGCCTAACGAGTAACGATAAAAAACAATGATTGTTCAACTGTATCACCCTTTTCCAGTGCATAGTTGCCACCCGAAAGAAGCACAAGGACTGAGGTACTGCCGGTCACCCAAGTTTCGTTTGCCGATTAGCTTTGCACCAAGCTTTTTTGCCTAACGAGTAACGATAAAAAACAATGATTGTTCAACTGTATCACCCTTTTCCAGTGCATAGTTGCCACCCGAAAGAAGCACAAGGACTGAGGTACTGCCAGGTCACCCAAGCCCAGACAGATGCAGAGGTTTGTTTCGAGCTTTCTCGAGCTTAATGAGTGTTCGAACTAGTTTGAATTTACCTGGCGCTGTTAGTAGGGTATCAGCATTATCATCACAGGCAGTCACAACAATGCACAGTACTACCGTTGGAAAAATAAACAAACTGATAGGAGAAAGAGACCTGGCACCAGCAATATTCTTTACCCAAGCTGCAATCTGGGCGCTAAACAACTGCTTAAACGCCACTTGACACGCAGCATATTCCCCCAATAGTTGAGATGTAACGCATCTAGTAACAAACAATAAAGTACGTCAGTACATGTGGTTTCACCCAGTCTTTGTTTTAGTCAGAACAAGCTGACTCGGAGAACCAGTCAACACCACCGGATCACGTGACGGGAACTGAGTGCAACTTGATCACATGGCTAGTCAGTCATTCGTGACCGGACGGGATGATGTGTAGCACATTCCGTTGAAACGAACCATCACAAACGAGGGATTCAGCTGTATTCAGTTGAGTCTCCTGTCAAAGCCAGATTCGTGTGCAGATGAGGGTTTCAGTTAGTTTCATCCACTTCTTTACTATCGGGTCTAACACGTACTTTTCATGAACTTTGTCACAGTTGCTCACTCCATCTGTTCCGCGTTTCCGTTGGGAACAACCGTACCTGAACCGGTCGGGTGTCATTGTTCCGGTTATCGGTGGGCGTTTGCACACGTGTGTTTGTCTATGTGTGTATGCATAGACTCGTCAAGCCTTTGTGCTTGTGGAGAACGTGTGGAGAGGGGGACGGAGATGGGAGTAAACATTCTTGATGCATGATTGGGTTGCGTTTTTCTTCTTCGGACATGGTGAGAAAGATGTTTTCGCCTTTGCCTGTGTTCGTTGGTTTACAGGATAGATCCTATCTGGGATGGCCTTTGTCACTGCATGGTCGTTTCAGGAGGGCACCTATCCGCTTGTCTCTGTTAGATCCATTCATTGGCGGAAGAAAGGGTCTAAGGAATTGCTTCCCGCCGGAAACTAGTCGGTTACTCGTCAAAGTTCGCACTGTTCTGCTTCGTCCATTGTATCAGCTCCCGAGTTGGGCATGCTGGTAGGCAGTGCTCAAACCGATTACATTTGTGTACAAATGGCCTGCATAGAGCCGAATGCAGGCCCTTGGAGCCGACGTAGCTCCGAGGGAATAGGATCGGTGAGCGGACGTGTAGAGGGACCTGCTGCAACGAATCTGTAACGAAACAATTAAAAAGCGAGTTTTCGGTTGTGCCACGGGGAATTCCATTGAAGCACGTGTCTAGCACCGTAAGCTGCGTCGGTTAAGCCATGTGTTGCGTATGCCTAGCCATCGTTTGCCAAAAAAAGAGTGGCGTTTTCTGTGCCCAATTCATAGTGGCGGAATCAGAGGGGTGGCCAACCCTTGAGCTAGCAGAGGGTATGAAAGAGGTTAAGGAGAGTGAGAGCGTGTGTTGTCCGTGCGGCTCGCTTTTCAGCATGGGGACACTTGATCCCCGCTGCGCCTGGCTGGAGACGCTGTAAGATATGGCTGCTAATAGGTGTCAATGATCTTCTTGTCAGTTTGTATCCGGATTGACTGAATGGATGTCTGGAGGTGCAGGTACCTCAGAATGATTGTAGTAAGCTAGCTCTGAGTCCTGTCCTTTATTCTTTTCTTCACAATAAGGCCTTCGAACACATGGTTGTATGGCAACGAAGCATCAGTGTTGAATACTGATGACATGCGGTCGATGACGATGATTGATGAATTCAGTACACGAATATCAAAGGCCAGAATCACGTTTGCTATTTTAAGTCCTTTATGGTGTCAGAAAGACCTAACAATGAGTCTCAAGGATCATTTGTACCAGGGTATGTCGTTGTATGGCTGCGGGACGCGGTCTCTGCGTCCACCTATGTCTCAGAAGTGTTGTTAGTGTCGATTAGAGCTAACGGATTCATAACGAGGTAACTAGACAACAGGTATTTGGTTGTACAACAGGTATTTCAGTCGCGGACAACATTCATTACCATCAGCTGCGATGGCTCGGGCATGTGCATGCCGAAACATAGTGCACTGGGTGGATTTTTGTCTATACCTCCTTCAGAATGAAGCAAAATTCGAGGTGCGACTTGGCTGAAGGTTGTGAAACAGCTTAGGTATTGAGATCCCGGTGTTCCCCCTGTTCTTGACCGAGGAAATCGGAAGAAATGGCAGCTGATCGATGTCAGTCACGTTTGTGCTTTCAGTTTCTTTCTAGATTTTCTGATCGAGCGCTTGGTGATGCAGGCACCCCAGAACTCTTGCGATAGGCTGACATCATGTCCACCCTCTACTCTCCTTTTTTCACTTTATGGCTATAAATATGATCAAATGGTCTTTCTGGTAGTCTCGAACTGAAGCATGAGTGTTGACGCTGATGTTGGTGTCTCAAACTATAATCATGTAACACCAANTGGCAGCTGATCGATGTCAGTCACGTTTGTGCTTTCAGTTTCTTTCTAGATTTTCTGATCGAGCGCTTGGTGATGCAGGCACCCCAGAACTCTTGCGATATGCTGGCATCATGTCCACCCTCTACTCTCCTTTTTTCACTTTATGGCTATAAATATGATCAAATGGTCTTTCTGGTAGTCTCGAACTGAAGCATGAGTGTTGACGCTGATGTTGGTGCCTCGAACTATAATCATGGTAACACCAACCATAAGTTAGTGATGTTCTTCGCTCTTGAGATGGCAATGTGGAGTAGGCGATTTTCAGAAAATGAGACCAACTTTCCACGCTTAGCCACTGAACCGGTGAGGTGCCACATTACACAGGTCCCAACAAGGCATGTGCGTTCAGCTTGCGCAGGTCGCTTCGCGTCCCAAAGCTTTTTACGCCTACATGGACAGCCCTTCTTTAGGCCGCCTTATAAAATGCCAGGTCCTCGTATGATCCAAAATGAAAGCAGACTTTTGAGCATTCTCATTTTTGAACTCAGTTTTGCATCTGACCACAGACAAAATGTGGAATGCGAGTTTCGGCCATTCTTTCCAGTTTGCCTAAAGAGCCGAACTGCTTTCTTGTCAGACTGCGTTTGACTGCAACCGTTTGTTCTTCGAAGAACCTCGGTGCTCAGGATTCGTCTATCCATCGGATCTGAATGATTTTGAGCTGACACTGCAAGTGAGATGGGCCCCAACATATCGCCTGTATAATGTCTTGGTTTCACTGCTCTACGGTAGTAAAAATAGTACAAATGCCTAACAAAGTGGAGCCCTAGCGTGCACTTGGCGTGCACCAGAAAGTGATCGGTACTACATTAAGCTTCATGCTTCACCTTTGTGATAAGTACATTGAAATCTGTCTGCGTCACATTAATATTGTCTGTCAAGTGTGCTTGTCCGATTTTTGAATGAGTCCTCATGGCAGGTGATGTCCTCTCCACATTGAACCATGTTTTTATTGCGAGTTCCAATGCCGCACATATCTTCCGCGGTTGTCGTTCATTGTTCATATTCCAGAGGAGCCAGGTATCTTCTTCCAGGTTTCCTACTCCTTGCCAGCCCGAGCATTGAAATCACCCAACAAGAAGGGCGAGTCATTTGAGGATGCCTAGCTGATCAGGTTTGATAGTTGATCGTAGAATTCCTTCTTTTTTTTATCTGAGTGTGAGCGCCAGATAAATGTGGCAAACCATGTCGTCGACAGCCAGATTGGGATAACCATCATTCTCAGGTTGATGCAGTCTGGTTCATCCATTATCCTCTGGTTCATGGGGTATGCAACTGCGAATCTGGCACTGTGTTCATGTATCTTTTGTATTGTTCAAATCCAGTTGGAAGTATAACTAGATCCAGCCACCCGTCGCTTTCCCTCACCAGTCAGCTGAGTGTCCTTGAGTGCACTGAGGTATATCCTGTAGTCCATACTCTTTATTTTACAACAAGGGTGGTTTGCCCTCCAGGCCCGTCTCTTTCACCCTATTTATCTCTATTCCTGGGTTACATGACTCGAAAGATGTCTCTCCTCTCTGTGAAGTCCTTTGAAATTTTTGATCGCTGAGCCTAGAAGTAGGGGCCTTCCACCTCGAGATCTTATCCACATACAGTTGCAGAGTGACTTAACACGATGGCGCAGGCAACAAAGTATAGGATTTGCACTTGTAATGATACTGTGCACAGCAAGTATTTTTTGAACAGCATTGGGCTCTTAATTTTTAAAAGTGTTTCACTCCTAATGAACAACGTTCGGACGGTTATGGTCAGCCTTCAAGTGGTCAAAGTATGTAGATTTTATGTTCGACCTTTTCTACCTCTTAGTTCCTCGGAGGAACACAGCATTGCTTCTGCCATAAACGCACCTTAATTTTCTCACGTTCCTCTCGCACCAAATAGTAGGACTCCTCCCAGGCCGTGTCCTAGGGGCGAGATGGACCAAGCGGTTAGAGCTCGAATTTACTGACCGGAAGGTCCGTGTTTCGAACCCAACCTCTGCATCCCGACTTCTGTTTAGGCTTGAGTAACCTGTCAGTATGCCAGCCCTCGTGCTTCCTCCGGGTGGCATGACAGCTAGGCACCAAAAGCGTGTTACAGCTGAACAATTATCTATTATATAATCTACCTTCTGAGCTGTCGAACGAGTCGTCATGCTTGCGAAGATCTCATTCCACACCGGTATCATCTTTTGTCAACATTAGTCCGTTAGGGTCATCCAAGTTGAACTTGACAAGTGAGATTTTGCTCTGCAGTTGAAATCAGTTTATGCGGAAAAGCTGGAAGCACTGTATAACTGTTTCTAACCCGGTGCACTGCTTGCGAGTCCCATAAGGATGAAGCAGCTGTACAGTGCCTCTCAGCTTTTCGGCATAGATTGCCTTCACTGACAGGACGAACTCTTTGCTGCGAATTCCCCAGTCACTTCACACTACCATTGCATTTACATCAACGAAGGCCACGTCATTCTATCCAAACTTCCAGGTGATATTATTCGTTATTTGGTAAGTTCCCTTTTGAACATGGCCATAGTTCATCCGAGATACTTGTCTAACCTTTTTGCACTTCCTATATGCTGCTGTTACGAATAATGTATATCCGTGCAGTGAAGGATCGCCTTTGCTTTAAGGTACATGTTAATTTATTCGGCGTAGCACAACTCATTAGGAAACTTTCTTTTTCCATGCTTGTCTTCTGTATTTTTGCACGACTGGACTGCTCTTAGATTGCTCTTCATATTTGACCGATAATTTCGAAGTCAGTTAGCCCTAAATCATCCTAGCCAAAGCGCAGGTAGCACCGTTCTGCTTACCGTTCCTCGGTTTCGCCAAGTTATAATAGTGCCTCTATTACAAGGACTGGACAAGTGTCATTCACGGAACACGTGTAACTTCGAGGCTGATCCATGAGATGCTACTGAGCATTGCTCGACACATGAACTATACGCATTTTTGGATCATGATTGGTTGTACTAGCATCTCACTTCTCAGACACGTTTAACTTGATCCGAAACCAAGTATGCGTCTTATTTGGTATTTCGTTCGGCGATTGTTTTAAATTCGACTGTCCTACGGATTAGATTGCTCGAGAAAAACGTGGATGATTCTAATCGATTTGTTACCCAACAATTTCCACATCCAATGGTACTGGGAACTACTTTGGTGAGATCTTCTACTGACACCCCCTTCCGACTCATCTCCGTTCTTAGCATCTCAAATGTCCTGAACACCAACAGTTCGCCAAGAACTCAGAGAACTATCACCTGCTAGACGATGTCTTGAATCGTTTGCCGTCGCTTCAGTCCTTCCTTACTTCGGAGACCATCAAACAGAAGTCGATTGATGCGGGTGATCGGCGTCCGACGGCTCACAGAAAACGCCACCAAAGCGCTTCTAAGTCTTCTGCTTGTGACGCCCAGGTGTCCCAGAAAACGCAGGACAATCTGGACGAGCCCGCTGCTCATGGCGTGTAAGTTTTCACCCAAATGAATCCACATCGCCTCGTAAGCCTTGCCAATCTTTATTGTGGTGAAAGGTGAATGTGTTTTCGGTATCGTATGATAGCAGGCATCAGCCACATGCTCCCCTACCCAAACGTTTGACCCTAGTCATCTCATTCGACTGTACTGTGCTGTTGAAATAGTCGGCCGAACGACCACTGTGTCGGACAGAAAAGTAATCTATGGAAGAAAAAGTGAAATCTGGTATGAAATTCAAGTTTTGCTCTCTACGATAGCGGCATCGTCGAAGAAAATGGTTCGAGTTATTGAGGTGCTAAAATGCAGCCAGATAACGCGAGGTGAATGCCCTTGATGACCCGTGTTGGATGGACCCGTTTCTGTATGAATCCGGTGTGACCCCCCCTCATTCTGGACTCATGGTAGTTTTGCATTGCATCTGATGTACAAAAAACTGCTGGTTGCGGTGGTAACAAGGCATACTGCCTGAATCTTTAAGGCATAACCCAGGTTAATTAAGCGTAAGTGTAACAGACCGAAGGCCATAGAGGTTCACGTGATCGATTTTCACCGGCGCATCACAGAATAGTATGAAACCAAAAGTGCACAAGTTTTCAATCGGCTCAGTCCTGATAGCGAGTTACTTATGGTGAGATCGAACGGAGTAGGTCGTGAAGTGGAACCAGTCGTTGGGCCTGCCACTCCTTCATCCCTCTGCTCAGCATATTTGGACAAATTAGTACATTACATCATTTAAAAACCTATCATTGCACAAAGCAATCCAGTCGGATCCGAAATAATCGCCCTCCTTTAGCTCGCGGACATCTGGTTGTCCGTCGTCCAAGCTGCGCGGTGTCTCCTCAGAGAGTCTGATCGAAATTGTTCTTGACGTGTTCTTTTTGGCTTCAAAGCTTCAAGAATAAACTAAACATGAGCTCTTCTGGGAGCCGTTGACTTATGAAAGCGTATGTAGTGCCTATTAGTAGGTATTCTGTAAGGGTTTTCTCACCGGTGTAGCTCTTCATATCTGACCGACTAGAAGCACGGATCTTGGTCTCCTGGATGACGTAAACTCCATTGAGTGTCTAGTGCGCAGCCCTGCAGATCTTCTTTTCACTTTTATCGCATTGTCATTTCACTGCTGCACTTCATGCCGGATTGTCATCTCTGTGAGTTGCCTCCCTCCATTTTATCCATGTCATCCGTGTACCAAACTGTTGAATGGGAACAGTTGTTTTTCGAATGGGAACATGAGTCTACATTACCATTAGGTTACCACGTACGCTTCAGAGTATAAACTGTCGGGAAGACGGGCCATCGAAAATAGAGTTTTATCGATCAGTAGACCCTGCGGCATCGTACGTTCACTCAGAACGTTTTATTTTTTTAATCAGTATAAAAGCAATTGAATCTCCTGGGACTAATTTGCTCGAAGTTCTGTGATCTTTTGTTGTACTCCTATTGTTTAACTTCCCAGCCCCTTGAGCGGTACTTAAGGATAGAGACAATTTTGCCGTTTGTTCTTACACGCACCTACTCCATATACGAGACAGCTTTAAAATATAAACGAATTCATCTCTCTTCACATTGAGTGATTACGCTCCTTGGACACTTTATTTGATGGCCTGGCCTCTCCACCCATCGATAACTTCCTAATTGAGTTCAATATCACTTTTAAAAATTGCACTCGATCCGGTTGTACACTGCTGATTAGGGAATCCGTTTCGTCAATGTATAGACATTTAAATCGGATCGTTCAACCCACTCGTTCAGGATTCATTGAGACTACTGTGTCAATTTTCCAGATCGGCCACGAATTTCACCCATTTCCCCACTATTAATAGGTTGACCAACTGAATTTCTGGTTCAACTTACTCGTTTTTTTTATTGACCTGATCTCTCTGAACTTGAATCCCAATTCTAGAGAAACCAAGGTCCCTCCTTGGGATCAGTGGTAATTTCTAGCTCGAACAAATCGCTACAGTCCGGGTTTTTCGGTTAATGACTACCTCTTCTTCCATATTTCGCTCCTGTTTTAGTCCAGTAACCACAGTCTCTCTGGATGTTGCTGCGGTGGATGAATCCCCCGTGAAACCCATGGTTCCACCTTGCTTGAAATCAGTCGATCCAGCAGAGCAAGGTCATGCAGAACCAGTAGATCAGCTCAAGTTGTTCAGTGACGATGAGGCTGATCACGATGACGAAGCCTTGGTGAAAGCAGTAACCAAGGATGCAGTCGGCTTGAAATCTTCCACTCCGCTGCCTCTTGAGGTGCCTGCGGTCACGACATTAGAGCAGAACTTGGCAGTAGAAGAACCTTCACCTGGACCCGTGAGGATTATTTCATTCTCAGTTGACCTTGACGAGGGCCAAAAAGGGTTCCCTGCAGCCTTTGTAGATCCCATCCCCCAACAGCCTGATTTTCCAGCTACCTCTACTGTTAATGCTTGGCATTCAGTTTGTGCTGAAATCTATGTAAGTGAATCGTTCCGCCAACCAGTTTCTCGTTCCGATTCAAACTGTACGATGAATGTGTCTCCTGTCTTGGAACGGTTCCACATCCCTTGTTCAGTCTGCTGCCGCTCACATATCCCGTCCCGTTTACCCGATTCGATGCACCTGAAAATGAACAGCCTTCTTGGACCTAGTTTGCAGTTGGATGGGTTTGGTTGTCAAAGAACTTCGTTCTCTCCAGACGGCATGTTGTCACCGACTGCTATTCCATCGAGTCAAGATGAACGAAGCACACCTGAAGAGACACCCGCTGTCTCCGCACTTTTGGAGGCTCAAGATGATCATAATGCGGGTTTGTCGCCTATTCAGTCTGTTCATTCAGCTTCCTGTTCGCCTGTTTTCGACAGCAAAGACACTGAAACAACTCACCGCCCACAGAATTGTACACCGCCAACCTCACCCATGCGTCGTTTGTCGACCGGCAGCACCAAACAACCGGATCAACCACATGCCGTGATTTCGAACTCCACAAGGTCTAATCAGCCTTCTTTATCCGAAACAACCCCATCTTCCTCACCTCCCTTTTCCAGACCGATCATTTCTACCCCTCTTGTTTCCCCTCACACGGACAGTTCTACTCTGTCCACGTCCCGTTGCGTTTTGCCTCCTAACTCACCAAGTTCCAAGTCGGACGCAGGAAAACGCCGTAAGTCCCTTAATTGGCTCCTAAACACTGCTTCATTCGAAGCCCAACTCCCATGTGATGCCCACGCTTCATCTGGGAGTGAACTTCAACGAATCCGAAAGAGGGGAACAAACAAGCGGCGGTGCCTTACATCCAATTTGGGATATGACACAGAAGGCGCTGTGCTACGTCAGCTTCCAGTCCTCAAACGCACAAAACTTGGCACAGAAAACCCGATAACCCCCAGGAGCAAAAGGGAAAACAAATTCTCCATGGGCACCGCACCTGGCACAGGTGTTGACAAGTTGCCTCACAGTGACAGAAAACGTAAACGAAAGAGGAAAGCAAGTGGAACACCACCCCCTTATGCGACCCCTTCGCGCGGTGTTCTCCCTCGCGTTGCCGCCCGTATTGCTCGTGAGTCAATCAGTTTGAGTGTGCGGGCTCTTTATTCCCCATCGACTCTTGACCGGTTCTCTGATGAACGTCACCAGCCCGTCCCACCCGCCAGTCTTTCTTTGCACTCTGTCGCCATCAGTTCACCTTCCGAACACAAATCATGTCCCCAACGGAAGAAGTCCGGGCGGATTTTGTTTTCCCCCAATTCCCCTTGCGCTGATCCATCTGACGACGAGTTTTTTGATAGCCCTGTGCCAAAATCAAGGGGATCAGCGAAAAGTATTCTTTATTCACCTAAAATGCGTTTATTTGGCGGTTCTTCAGATGGAAATCAGTAATTCCTTTCAAACTTCTTATCCTACCCTTTAGACCTCGTGTATTCTGATCGTCCCCGCTTTTTGTAACTTGTGTTCCGTTTCTGTAATTCCCCCGGAATGGTATCCAGTTTGCGTATGCTGTGATGTCTTGCAGTTTTTTACAATGAAGAGGAAAATGCTGTCGAGTCCTCTTCTTTTCTACTGTTGTTGGAGAGGATGATTTCAGGTCGCTCGTATTCTGCTGCGCAGAAGATATTACCGCTTCTGTACAGGTTTTAGCTACTCGTCAACATCATCCGCGTGTCGATGATATCGCCATGATTGGTGACGAAAGGCTTACAAGTAAACTGCCAAGTTCAGCTAACAGATTAACAACCACCAATATTTCGCTACATTCTCCTTTAGATGACTGTACGCAGTACGAGAATCCATGTGAATGCCCAAGATTCATGTAGGTACGTAATGCCCAGCGTTACACGACAGTTCTTGACATGTAGATCAGTCTTCTGCTCCTGTTAGAGTCTCTGCAATGATGGTCGCGACAAAAAGTAGTCGAAAATACCTAAAACCTATAGAGTTGTGTGAATCAGCCAATGCATCCTACCCACTAGTTAACATCTAGCCGTTGAGAGGCGTTTTGCATCAATTTGTATGGAAAAGATATTTTCAAGCAAATTGCCAGGGTTGTTCAGGTTGCACTCCACCTTGACATAGCCATCGTCCAGACGGAGACCTACTACAGTGCTTCTTCCATACAAGAGACCATCCGAGAGCATGCAGGCTGTTTCTCAAAATTAGGCAACAATCAACGAGGCTGTGAATTAGTTACCTCCCCCCCCCACGACCATCAGCTACGGCGTTTATGAGCATTCCTTTCAGTAAGGCAGGATTGTTCGCAAATTTCTGCTTATGGAACCCCTCTTCTCTGAGCAACAAAACCTCTATTTCATTGATTCCAGACGTCTCTCAAGTATGCACGATAACGGACAAATGCTAACATGTCCGTGATCCTCTGATTGACGCCTTCCACGGTGATCTACTTTGATCTTTCTCGGTTAAGGACAAACGCTCGACTAAAATCTCCCTACCATCTTACCATACATTGAACAAACCATTAAAGTCGCATTTTGCCGCGAGTTGAGGCGTATTGGTTTGTCTTCTGTGAACGTACTTTGAACCGATTTGCTTCATCCGGCAAGTAAATGGGGTCAAGGTGACACGTGAAAGTGCCAATCACTCGTACTACGGTTGTCCTTTATCTTGGTGTAACTTCGTGAGGCCGCGGGTTTTTCCCATTTGTTTACCGGAGGATCCCGCCAGCAAGGAGAATGTACGATCTCAAAAGGACTTGAAAAAATCAGTGATACACCGCCTACTTCCTCTGGATCAACTTGCAACTATCGCCGCGAGAAGCGGCACGGTACGCAGTGCGCCTCGATAGCTCGGGCCTACTCCAATAACTCTTCCGTAATATCATCAAAGACTGGCTTGGTGAGCTGCATCTCTTTATATGGCAATGTGCCCAACTATTAGGAGTTACGAAGAGACTGGACCTTGTGGGACGGTTTGTGTACCTCGGCGACCCGCTGGCTCTACTGGTCTTCCGTAATATCATCAAAGACTGGCTTGGTGAGCTGCATCTCTTTATATGGCAATGTGCCCAACTATTAGGAGTTACGAAGAGACTGGACCTTGTGTGACGGTTTGTGTACCTCGGCGACCCGCTGAGCTCTACTGGTTGTGTCCGCCCGATACTCACAGTCTCTCTTACCAGGTTGGTTAGTAGTTAGAGGTCTGGCACCTCGAAATCAAGCCTCGGCGCCTAGTCTATCCGGTCGCCTGCAATGTCCGCAAGCAGGTCAACAAACTGATCTTGCTCTCAACAATAATTCAAGAAGATGATCATGTATTGCATGAATTCCTAGGTGCCTCCTTTTTCGACAAACTATTGATAACCCTAGTTCCATTTTCCCAGAAAATGGTGTAAAATTCCAACCGCCAGCTCGCTTGAAATAGCGAGTAAAATTAGTTCATGGTTACTTCCGTGACCTTGATCTGCTTATGTGTTGCAAGGTCCTCCGATTTGAATGTGAAAAAAATACGAGGCTGCGAACAGTCGTGGCTGTTTTCACCCAGTTTGTAGTCTTGATTCTGCGATCTGTCAGAACAATCATCCTAGTAGTGGATTACGTTCGGCAGCAGTGGATGTGATAATTGATATTGTTATTTCTGACTTCTGTCCTCGCTCCAGTGTCTTAGTGCCGCAAAAAGATTCGCCGACAAGAAACACAACTGCTTTATCGTCAACAAGCGAGTGCGAAAGTACAACGGCCTTGCGCTATATTTTTAATGGCAGTTTGACCTGTATTCTAGAATGTATGATGCCACATCCTTAAGGGCATTGTTTGACCTTGATCCAAGACTCTGATAATCTTCAGGAATCTGACCTTCCTGACACCTTTTTGGCCGTTTAACGTAAGATTGTCGGCGCGGGGCAAGTTTAAAAGGTTTCACAAGTCTTCTGGCGCTACCAGTACGGCGTCTCGGTTGCGGCAGTGCATTAGTCTCGGACGGGACACGTGAAGCGGTGGCTATTGGTGCTGGTCTTGGGAGATCGATGGATTCAATCAGTACGTTGAGGTCTAGTAACTGATCTTCCTCTTTTGTGATCGGATACTCAGCCGGCCGTAGCTGATTGACATATCGTTTCCATATCAATGGTCCCACCTGAACGCTATAGATCACCTGGCCGAGTCTTTTGAGGATGATTCCAACAGCCCGGCTTTGGTGCCCGGGGCGGTAGTCTCACACAAGGACACCGTTTCCAGAGTAGGATGTTAGCTCCACTCCTTTGGTCTTGATGGGAATAAGTTTTCGATTGGCAATGTTGATAGATACGAACGATCGATCCAGTCTCTAATCAGCAGATTAAGCTCACAAGTAGCAAGGTATATAATACTGCGATCACGGTGGCCTGCTATCTCTATCTCATAATCAAGTTTACCAGGCAATTGAAGCTTACCTCATGAAGCATTTCTGGCGGTGTCCATTGTTGGTGATCTGATCTTCCTCCAGGTGTACGGGGAAGCATTCGTAATATCGGAAGCCGTATCGAACTGCAGTCGAATTGTGCTTCAGTTTGCTCTGATTACAACATACTTGCGGTGAGCATCATATGTGGCAAGTATTCGTTGAAGCGAGGTTCTGTCTGCTTGGTGACCTCCGGATTCGGCTGCGTCTTCAACTAGCCTTTCATACCCGGCACTGACTTCCCTTGTGCCCACGTCGATTGCACACTGAACATCTGTGGTTTTTATGGGGACACAATAGCACAAAATGTCATTCACCGTATTATCAGCATACCGACGGGGGCTTTGCTCTGTTCGAATTTACCGCAACTGGAGGTTACCTGGAATTCGTCTTGGCAACACTGAATAATGGCCTCTCCAACATGGTGGTGTTTGAGGATCAAGGAGCGCTGGCACTCGTGAGTAGTGGATTGCAGCGTTACCTCGGGAGATTGCTCAATCTTGTTCAATAGCCTCGCCCTGATATCACTCTCTGCATGTGACTGAAAATAAGACGTTTGAATTGGTCTTCCATCATGACAGATAACTTGAAGTGTTCACATTCAAGATTGACTCTACTGGTATGTGATATAGTCTTCAGATTCACTTTTCGCCCGTTTCGTACGTTGGCAGCGAATATTAAACAAGGACGAAGCTCACCGAATACTACCGGGAGTTGCTGCAGGGTTGTCAAAACTGAGATCTCACGTGTTCTTAGACAGGATAAAGTTGGAATACCGTGTGTGTTCCGTTGTGCCAAGCCTTTTGAATTGTTCAGCTGTAGCACCCTTTCAGTGCCTAACTGCCATGCCATCAGAAGGAAGCATGAGGTTCAAGCTGTCTGAACAATAAGTGCACTCTCCAGGCGTCGTCTTTGTGCTTCAGTTCGACTTTGAAAATATCTTCTTAACGAATCCAAGGTTAGACCAACATCAGAGTCATAATGGAACTCCGTGATGCTGTTGGTGATCAAGTCGACGGAATTTGCATCTGGAGCGGAATTTGGTGGTTGATTTGTAAGTTGCTGTATAAAGGTTTCCACTAAAGGCGATCGCACCGATTCAAACTGATTTTGTTGTTGCCGCAGGATTTCCTTCAGCGCTCTATCGGCTATTGTCATGGTTTCTGTTGTCACCAATCTGTTATATCTGACCGCTGTCCTGCTCCAGTGCCTCAGTGCCGATAAAGGACTCGCCGACAAGGAACATAGTGGCTTTATTGCCAAAAAGCGAGTGTGAAAGTGCGAAGGCCTCGCACTCTATTTTCAAGGACACTGTTTGACCTTGATTTAAACTTGATGGTCTCAGTTGGTTCCTGGTATTTTGGGATAATCTTCGGGAATATAACCTTCCCGACATATGCTAACGTCCGTATATAAAAAAATTGCCACAGATTTTGCTATACATCTTTTGACGATCAAATGCAGAAGTGACGTCGCAGACAAAGAACGGGAGACTAATTCCATGAAAAGTTCACACAGCACCTGGTTCCTCTGACGACCTGTCGCGAAGTTTAAGCCCAAATGGCGCTTCATACTTACCTCCTGTTGAGGGAGAATCATATTTGCGATGACCTTAAAAAGAGTGTCTTCTGGTACGCCAGAAGAAATGACACTTTCTCTCAAATATTGGTTGTTATTTGACTCCCTAATCGTCTAATTATCACACAAAAATAGTGAGTTCGAAGACAGACACTGCGTAGGGAGCTAGGTGACCACATGCTGTGGGTAGGTGCACTCGTGAACCAGAAAATCTATCCGTTCCATCGCGTAACACTTTACCTGAAACCAGCCCACCAATTCATCATCGCTATGAGTATTCCACTTTTCGGAAGCAACTGGACGCTTCTTGTGACTTACTTCACTCTGACGCGACTCTCTATATCGCCGATGTTCTTGTTAGAAGTTTTAATCGTGATACTTTGGTGCTCCACCTGTCGCCTTTTTCTACTCCTCGTGGTATCAACCCGAACTCAAAGACAGAAATAAGAGCTCCACCTGAAAATTGCCGAGCTGTGAATTATGAACAGGTCCTCGACTCTGCAGTAACGATATTAGCAACTAGCTTTGTTTTCTTTCTGACAGATGAATGGACGGAACTATGGAGTAGTTAACTGAGATTATAGATTTACATTCAAATAATTCTTTTTTCGAATCACCCATCTCTTGTTCTGGTTAGTTTACATGCGCCAATCGGGGGAAGAGCATTCATTGGAGGTTAACAGCGGCGCATATTCTTGGCCGTACTGGCGATTTGAATTCGTACTAGGGTCTTGTTCAAGCGGATCAACACACTCACTAACCGTTCAGATGTAGTAATTTAGGCAGAGTGGGCTCAGGTGCTCACCGCGTGTCAGATGACCGGCGTCTTTATCCCGGTATGATCTAGGATGTGTACTGTCGATGAGCTCTCACCAGGGTGGAACTCGATGTGTATCTGTTACGGGATTATTACCCCTTAGTCTCTGTTCATAACATTCCGTGATGTCTTATTCAGATGTCAGAACGGAATCCAGTCTGTGATAGTGTGAAAGCAACATATGCTGAGGGCTGGCCAATAGCCTTTGTGAAATTCGAGACGCTGTGACCAACCAGCTTATTTGAATTTCACATCCAGAGGCCTCTTCGTATCTGACAAAGCAAAAAAACAACGAAGCACCAGTGCAAATTGATGTGGAATAGAATTAGGACAACTCTTACATCGTTATCATCCTTTTGCATATCAGCGTTGATCAACTGATTTCTGCTGTGACCAGGCAACTGCTTCTTGTCTGAGAGGCGTTATAAGCTGCAGTCTGATAAAGAGATAAAGTGATCGGGTCTATCAGCGTCCCGTGACAGTCAACTGTCCGATGCTGAGTTTTTTGTGAACCAACAGTATATCATTCTCACCGTTCCCAGCACGGTCGAAAAGTAAGTAGTTATGACTGAACGAGTTTCTCTCAATGGTTGAGCATTATTCATCTTACAATGAGTCAGTGATTCTGGTTGCTGACACAGTGAATGAACTCAGTGTTGCGAATTGCTGCTTTTTCGAGATGCCGCAACAACTTATTTGGACTTCTTGGCAAAGAAACGGAAGCCCATGGGCCCTCGTTTAGGTGGTAGTGGTGGTGGTGCTTGGGGCGGTGGAAGATTTGTGGAAGAGGGTGTCGGGGTTGTCGCTCTTAACTTCGACCCTTCTTCAGCGGGCTGTTTAATTTGTTGCGACGGTTGTGGTGGGCGTACAGGATTGCTTGTGGTTGTGGCTTTGACTGGATGTTCTGAATGTCCAGTTGGACCCGTGAATGATTGTGCGTGCGACAGACTAGTACGTCCAGTGTGGGAGGTAGCTGCCGCTGACTCTGTAGTCACAGGTGCAGATGCTGTTTGAGGTCGATTCCCAATCGTGATACTGGGGCTCGGGCTACGCAAGTTCCTTCCAAATGTGGGTGGGCTTGCTCCGCGGAATCGGAGATTAGTCAGACGCGCAACCGGATTGGTCAGATTGTTGTCACCATCAGTGACTGTTGGACTCGTTGTATCCTGCTGAATGGTTGGAGGTAACCCAGGCATCGGTATCCCTTTCTTTTGAAGCAAAAGACCAGGTGACACAGCCAGACTGGAAAGAACGCTTCCCGTGGCCGGAGTTAGGGATCCGGCACTGGAGCTCATGGATCGGCCAANTGCTGGCTGAATGGTTGGAGGTAACCCAGGCATCGGTATCCCTTTCTTTTGAAGCAAAAGACCAGGTGACACAGCCAGACTGGAAAGAACGCTTCCCGTGGCCGGAGTTAGGGATCCGGCACTGGAGCTCATGGATCGGCCAACACTTGCCCCACCTCCGTTCGGTCCTCGTGACTTGCCGAAGCGTGTGGAATTTGACAACCGAACCACTGTGTGGAATATACCTTGTACTTCGTTATACGTCTCGGCTGCAGTGGTCTCATAATAAGGAATACCGTGTGCTTTGGCCAAGGCCTCGGCTTCAGATTTTTCGACTAGTCTGCGAAGAGAAAGGCAAAAGTCAGAAATTTTATGTATACTTCTCCATTGATGGGTCTGTGATTTTTGCAGGATACACAAAAAAGGCAAAAATAAACAGTTTCACATGATTGTAGTAATATATAACTGTTTAGCTGTAACACCCTTCGGGAGCCTAGTTATCATGTCACCCGAAGGAAGCACGAGGGCTGAGATACCTCCAGGTTGTCCAAGACTAGAGCAGTCGAAATCTTAGGATGGGGTTTAAACCATGAACCTTCCGGTAGGTCATTTCACATCTCAGCCACTGGGTTGCCTTGGCTTACATGATCTTACTGTATTCTGCTAATATGTTTCAGGCCTCAGGTAGCAATACCTGAGCTGAAGTTTGAACGACAGTCTTTCAACTGTGGGGCGATTAATCGAAGTCAGTTGTGAGCTGCTTTTGTTTCGAAATAAAATGTAATATAAAATAAAGCTATTGATGCTTGATTTAACGTAGTTGTTAGCGAAATAGACTCGTTGGTCAACGAATCTGGTTTTCCGAGAGACTCACCTGGAACCCAGCTGAATCTCTCGTTTATGATGTCTCTAGGCAACTGAGTGTGCTGCACCAGACCTCATCATGTTCAATTTGCTACGCTATTCGAAATATCGCGGTACATGTATAGACGGAATGCACTACTCATAACGTAGTTGTTGCCTGCCCCGTCGTTGATAACTACAGTACTCTCCAGAAAACGCATGAGGACGGAGCTAAAGGGAACGCTGAAGTGAGACTTTGATCCGTTATGCCTTACGTGACCGCTTCACCGAGAACTTAACACAATTCAGTCGAAGACGACAAGGTTTATAATTGCCTTGTAGTTGCAGAACGCAGTATACTGTGAAAGTAGCCCATGGTGCGTTTCATGGTTTGGAATAAAAAAAATTCAGTACTATATTCCACACGCATGAATTCGGTGTACACCTTTGAGGAGACTGGCCGAAGCAGCGACACTGGTGGCGTTTGGGTATTTTCCAAAAATGTGCGCACGGTTTCACAGAAAATGACAATTCGCACCGATACTAGCCCTAAGTTATGAAAGTTCCGCGTTTAGACAACAAGAAATTCGATTAAAACAGAGTCTTCTGTCTGCGCTACTTTGAAACCTACTCAAACCACAATACTCGTTTTGGCGTCCGACATGTAGGGTTTTGAGATTAGGAGAATAGACATCATTCCAAAGCTATCTAGCAACACTGAGCGATCTTCAGAATGCTGGTAAAATTATTAGTTGTCTTCAGTGCAGCCGAATGACTTGGTGGTAATCCACGACTGTCAGCTTGGCCTCTCATCTGTGAAAATCGTCAAATGAATATATCGTACCTCTGCTGTCTGAAGAGATTCAACGGATACCAGTAGCCCATCAAATTCCGCTCAGCCACCGATTCCCAGAGATGACCCGCCAGCCTATGACGAAAAAAATTGCCATAAAATTAGCGAAATAAGCTCGCTTGCATGCCAATTTGCTTTTGGCGGGAGACTCACCTGAAACCCAGCTGAATCTCTCGTTTATGATGTTCTTAAGCAAGTAGAGTGTAAAGTTGACGGGAGCTCAGCTACTGCGCCTACCTGATGAGCCCCAAGAAGGGTAAACCGGTCAGAATCTCTCGTTTATGATGTTCTTAAGCAAGTAGAGTGTAAAGTTGACGGGAGCTCAGCTACTGCGCCTACCTGATGAGCCCCAAGAAGGGTGAAACCGGTCATGGGTTGTCAAAGAGCTTTCAACAATCTTACGGTTAGTGCATTACATCCTCACAACATCCATGTCATACAACATCCTGCTGTGTAGTTAGGATATCACAGACTTTCTAGGTTCTCCATAGTTACAGTTAATTACTACCTTTTTCATGTTGAATGATCCCCAGTTGATCATTCGTGTAGCGTCATAAATCGAAACAAGATTGTGGGGGGAGGCAGAAAATGAGTAATTAGAAAACTGCGAAAGTTCAGGCGGTTATCACAACCGTAAAATAAGGTAACCGGTTTCAAGAAGGTCCAACAGAATCTAGCTCTATTGTTGAACGTTCCAGACACTGTGAGTAACTTCTCTATAAGCAAAGCTACAAAACAACGAGGAAAACGAAGCTAAAGTGACGTCAGACCGTTGAGATGATTGATTAACAAGATGCGCGCACATGTTTGGTTACAGTGTGAAGTCCGTGTTACGCGTCTAGTTGGTTTAATTACTGTTCAACCCGGACCCGACACGTAACAAACATCTGTCTCATTGAAAACCAGTCTTTACGCTGCAAGTCCATTTTGATTACATGAAAACGACAATTTTATCAGAAGCTGAACCCAAATTGTTTTGCAAACTAGTCATAAGAACAGGCTCATGTTAACCCTTGTTTGAACGCACAACCCACTTCCTTGTGCATTACGCTAGCTTATGTGCATTTATTTTGACGAACGGTGTTAAGGACGAAGCCATTGTTATTCACGAACCTGAATCGATCCAAGTCAGATTTGTTCGCAACTAACATCAGCGTTGGTGTCCGAACCGTAGCCACACCATATACTGCCGTGCGTCTCAAAGAACCTGTGTAACCAGGACCTAGTGATGAGACAGGTGAAGCTGTACTGGAGCTGCCCACTGAGCTCGAAAGCGCGGACGCACTGCCGGTGCTGGATGGCCTCTGAGACAGTTGGCGTCCATGAGGCTCGGAGTTTTGTTTGATGCTTTCCAACAGTTCTTGTGCGCGATAGAAGCTCCGACGACTGGTAATAGAGAACAGGATGATGATTGCTTGGGACCATTTCAAGATTTCCTCCAGATCCATATCGTCCTGCGTGCGCAAGAATACAGAAATGTTAGTTGTGAAGTTTGTCTAGAGATGGATCCATCGAATATGTTATACCCACGTACTTCCAGCAACATCACGTTGTCTAGCAGTAATACTTTACACTGATTGGATGCAATTCCAAGTGAAATATTTTCTTCTTTGTCTGTGAGGTATTAAATGTACGATTTACTACCACCTATCGACAAGCATTTGGATGCTTGACTTGGGACAAAAATGGACTTGCGCCCACCGTTAAAAGGACGCTGATTAAACATAACATTAGCAGCCTCGTTACAGGTTACGCCGTGGACATTTGAAGCTTTTCTTTATTGCAAAAGGACCTTTCAACTTACACTATCCGAAGTGTCCTGTATATTCAGCGTGACTTCTTGTCCATCAATTGTGTCCGCTTTCGTGTAACTGTCACCTGCGTCAAAAGAAGAGTGCCGCGTAATGCGCGGTATGAACCAAGGACCCAATAAACTGGTTACATATCAATTTTTACCAATTATTAGAGACATTATGAGGCCAGGTCGATTATGGAAACAAAATGCAATCAGTCCTATTGTTCTGTCCGATTCTGACTGCATGGTAGCATGGTTTGGGATCTGGGTTACACCTCTCTTCGCAATCGTCTACCTGGCCTGGCCATACCTAATAGGACCAGAATGCTGAATATAGCAGGAACCGGTTGTTGCTCAGGTGGCAAGTGATTTGTTCAGCGAGCTCGGCAATCGATCTGCAAACGTTCTGTCACGAAATGAAGACGCATCGTTGGCTGGAAGAACTTTTGCATCCACATACCAAAACTTCGGACACTAGGCATCGGATCAGACGATTCGTAGTTCAACTCTGGCTTCTCAGCTATTCCCATCTGGGCTTGGATAACCTGGCTGCACCCCAGATTTCTTGGTTCCTATGGATCACACGAGGTTTGCGCATAGTAAGCCTGTCACAGCCGAACCAATTTTACTACTCTTATAACCACAGCGCTGCAGAACTCACATACTAGCAGACAGACCGACATTTCTCAGTGACCGCTTTGACAGTTATCATACTGAGGCCGTGAAATCTCAGTGACTAAGGTGCTAAGTTACTGACCGGAATGTCGGGGGTTGAATCCATCTTCTCTTGGGCAACCTTGTACTTTCCCAGTCACTGTGCCACTTTCAGGGGATCTGGAAGCTAGGCACCGAAAGGGTATTAAAGGGGAACGCTTGCTTACATTTACACACAATTTAAAGTTCCATCACTTTTATGCCCCTTTGCTCTTTGATCTCATATTCTCAGTGGCTACATACTTATCGATTGGTTTGCGTGGAATGCTGCGTAGTATTTCTCCGACAAAACTTATTTATGAAACGGCCTGCTCGAACGCACATAGGAATAAATTTTTTAATTCATCGCTTCGCTCCATACTATTCAACAGAATTAGATACTATGTGCCTGAGATGGGGATTGGAATTATTACATCCGCATGCTTGCAGTGCGTCACTTTGACTGTTACGACGTCTGCTAGCAGATAAATCTTTGGACGCATAATGATGGCATTGCTTCCTACCAGCACTCATCGAGTAATAGGTTTCCTTCTCATGTATATATTTCTCTCGTATACCACTGGATCGTGTATTTTTCCGTAGTAGTACTGAATCTATTTTGGGAGTCTGCAATGTAGTGTGGTAACGCTAACACACTAAAACCTTGGAGGGGGGAAATTCGCATCTGCTCCCATGATCGCTGGACGTACATTCACACTGAAGTTCAATAAAAGCTAATACTGGTGGGTAGTGGGCGATCAAGAAAAATTGCGTGTGCGGTGACATATTTATCAGGGAACACTCTTTTGGCCTATTCATTTCATTGTTTCTCTATGGCTATCGCTTACCTCTGGTACTCACCAGGAACGTCCGGTGACCTATTGTCGTCTTTCGAATAGAAGATAAACGCACATAAGTGCCGGACAACATGTCACAAGTGTAACTATCCGTCCGTTCAAGTGGATAACAAAGAGTGAGCCTAACAGATGGCTTCGGATTCGAGCAATGGCGCACGCGCCTTGCTCCGCTGCATTTCCGCGCCAGGTGATTCGTCACTACATGACGCTACCCACACAGAATCTTTCGAAAGGGCAGCTTCCATCTGTCTGGCTTGTAAGTTGGTCGAGTGATAACTATAATTAGCAGCAAGATAGCTTCCGCGATCGTCTTACCAGGGTGACTCTAGTGTTTCGTTCAGTTACTAGCATGTAATAAGTAGCACAGTTAGTCTATTCGGGACCAAGTGGCAACGCCTGACGAAATAGCCGTTCGCTGATTATGGTCTGGTACTACTTGATACGCCTGCTACGTTCTAGAAACCACTAGGTTATCAGAGAGTCATATGACAAAGACAAATGAATGTTGGTATCAAGAAAGAACACCCCAAACCTCGTCAGACCACATAGAATCGTCTAGATATACGGAACAAACAAATGCGATCACTTACTCAAATAAGGTGCATATTCAACAATGAACCGTCGAGTGAGATATTTGACAAGGATAGCTGCAAAGGGATTGAAAAGCATAACATGTGTTGTTTATCATTCGCTTGTTCGCTGCAAACTGTTTCCATATAACCACGCTTTCTACCAAGATCTTTTTGTATCTCGTTGAAAGCACCGAAACGAATGCCAACAATTTAGGGCACTAGCTTCCATCAGCCCGGCTGTTGGGAAGCTGACACGTTTATTATACCGCTCGAATGCTTGAAGCGGATGATGCGTCCACTATTTCTTGCAGTTTTACCCGCGCTGTTGGGTACCTCTGACACCTGGCCCCTTCCAGTTGCTTACTCATGGAGTTCGACTTTTGATTTCTACTTTGCGGTGGACGAATACGTACGTTGCTAGAGCACTTCACCTTCCCCGAGCGGGCCTCGGTGGCAGAATCTTTGGTGGTTTGGACGCATCCTGCGTGGTCCTAATAAAGTACTGACCAAACTTCCACTTTCAGGACCGCCTTGTGCAGGAAAACGTTGCCGCCTGAGAGGTCAGCTGAATGCTTGAAGATCCACCATCGGGGTTGATGAGGAGCATTTCGTATCCGGGGTTCATCGCTGAAATCAAGGCTCGCTGATCAGCCACGCTAGCTTAGTCGCTGATCGTCGATTTTTAGAGGGTGCTGAGATGTTGTTGGAGTTGATTTGTCCTATTTCTGGAGAAATTTTCACTGAGTGTAAGTCAGAAGTGGTGCAATAGAGATGCTTACAGTTGGAAAACAACACCTATGTCGCGCAAATAGTTATTCTTTCGAGCAGAACATGTCTAGCCACTCAGCTAAACGTCTAGTTAAACCCTTGCACAGGTTCTTCCTCGTAATCTACCAGATGTGGCAATTTTCTTTCCGTATGAACAAATCAGTTGCTTTATAGCGTGACTAGGTGCATACAAAATAACTTCCAAGAACAATGGAGAATAATTGAGGATTTGATGAGAAAAACCACGACTCGCATTCACTGATCATGAGGCCTGCAGTGGAACCCAATCACTGGGAAACAAAATGTCAGCCATATGGTGTTAGTTTGAAGGTGAACGCCAAATTTGGTCAAACAAGGAGTTAACCATTCTGTAATCTGAAACTTTTTACTCTTTGCATTGTCTTGTTTAAGGTGATACGTGGACTTGTTTCCTCGAATGCGTACATCGAGGAAAATAATTTTTAACTCTCGCCCCTCCCAAGACAAACTACCAAGCCAACGATATGCTTGGTATCCCCACGGGTACTTCATTCTCCTCGGGACTAATGCATTCTGTCTCATCTCTGAATACGGGTCGGACCTAAGCAGTAGCTTTTGAAACAAACCCGACTGGTTGTTTGCTCGATCATCTACTAACTCAACACCCGATGGAAACATGTTACCCGTCTCCGCCATTTCGCCCTATTATCACTAGTGAGCAACCGTCATTAATATGGATAAGTCCACGACAGGGCACACAGGGCCTTCACAACCATATATCCATATCATTTCATTCAAATAAAAAAAACCCTAAATTGATGAGAGGAGAAATGAGTGAGGGGGTAATGCATGAAGCCAGTCTACCGCACATACACACAAAAGAGTCCGGCACCAAGTCAGACAACCTGGGTGGGAAACAACAGCACAATATTTACCAAAATCGGTTCGCCGCCATTTCTGTCGGTATCTCCTTACAAGCACACAGAGGATCACCCCGGAAGGAGAATCTTACCAACAGTCTTCACTTTATTCGGAATTATGTTCTTTACGCTTGTTTGTCTTACAATTCCGGCTCGCTATATGACATTCATCACAAAAAGTGACTTCTATCCAGTACATGAATTACGTGCACCAGTGCATCTTGCAATAAGAATGGCTGTATTCAGCCGCGCTCTTTCTATTACGGTTTTGTAAGTCTTATGGCCCCTTCAACAGTGATACAACATGAACGAATCTCATTCTTAGTGAGCTCTTAAAAAAGATGTAAAAGAAGTTCCTGCATTCTTCTGATGCACCCATCTTAGTGGGCGACTGTCTGTGGCACTTGCTTAAAGACAGTAGCGCAGGAACAAACAAACCGATAAAACAGAGATTAAAAAGTGCTTGCTCACGTAGGAGAAAACCAAGTTTTGCCTGTTCTATCGTGGATGTCTCCATGACATGGCATCTACATCGTAAGGGAAGAGACAAATCCGAATAAAACAGATGCAGTCATTCAATGCATTCGGAAAGATTAGAAAGATTTCTTTTCAAACTGAAGACGTTCACACTCACATACCTGACTTCCCCGATCCATTCATTCCGACGATTGAAACATTCACTGTCAGGTTGTTCACCAAGGGTTTCATGTACAACCGTTGCATGATGCGTTAATCCGTCTACCGGATGCCGTTTAACATCTACCTCCAAACCACTTTGTCTAACTAATCTGGGAATATATTTACCCAGCTGCACGGTTCGATACGCAGTCCTGAAACAATGGCAAAACGTGATTGGCTGATAAGTTGTGCCATCGATTGACTTTTGTGCGCACAATCCGAACGCCACATGGTATCTACGTCGGACGATTCGCTTCTGATGAAGCTGTGATATACTGCTGTGCAAGGAAGAAAAAGCCCATGGCCTCCCCACTTCCCGAGGGTTAGGCGACGGAGATGGATTCTCATTTCAGTGTTTCTGTGTTTGATCTTCCAACGAATGTAGGGCGAACTGAATTCAGCACAGTGCATCTGGCGTCTGGTTTCTTCTTTCGCAATAGAACTTAGCATAATCAGGGAGGACGTTATAGTTTATTATCTGACCAAAACAACAAACTTCGTTGTATCTTATCACCGAAAAAGTGCTCTTTGTTGCTATCATTTGATTGTAGTTCAGACGGCGGAATATTCGTTGGTCACAATTGTTTGACCCCTAGGCGTCTAAAGAAAATTCTGAAGAACAATTGATCGCTTGAACAAAACTTAGATCCAGATTTGGACATTGTTTGATACCTATCACAAATCTGAGGGAGCACCAGTCAATTCGTGTTTACGTCTTTTTTTCCAGCTGGCATCAAAAACTATATCTACTGAAATTCACTTGTGAGTAGTAATCGGCATTCCTTGCATTCTTGAATAATGTTCACAAGATGGGTTTAACGGAACGTTCCTCTGTCACCATCCTAAGCTGACTGCATCTTTTGCGCCCGATAGGACCTGTTGGTTGGTGAAAATGCGTTTGTGTTCAAACCAAGATATGTGGTGTGTGATTCTTTACTTTCGCCCAATTTTGGTGATTCTTTTGAAAGATAGGGCAGAAATAATGAAAATGTATTTGAAATCTTGGCTTGCCCAGTAAAACATTTTGTGTCATTGGAAATCCTTCTTTGAATCCAGTAGTAAATGCGAGACCCTAATTTAACGATCAAATATATAGGTAGAACTTGATGAGTCATTTGAACATACTATCTGACTCGTATGAATTCCAACTGTTATTACCCATTCAGATATTTTGTATGGTTGTTTCCAGTACTCATAGGTGAAAAAGGAAATGACCACCCATGATTCGAAAACCATTTTCATCACCCAGCTTCTGAAACCTATCCAGGACTTGGGACGGCAGCCAAATCGAAGGCACCTATGTGGAACTTTGTAATCTGGTCATTGAAACACGAGTTAATCACAAGGTGGCTGAGGGGCACAGAATTCAGCTTTGGAACCTTAACGCCTTCTGGTGGTCGTGTGCTAAAAGTGATACAGGCAAATCACGCCGTTCGGTTTTCTGTGTACCTTTTTCTGTGAATCGCACTGTGCAGTAAGAAGCTGGTAGCACTCTCAGTAGTCTTGGTCGGCATGATTATACTGCAAATAAAATGCGCGGATTGTGATTGCTAACCAAATTTAAGGGATGGCGCAAACTTAAATTAGACCAAACCCCCAACTACCAGCGTCTTGAGAAATGTTTTTCTTAGCTGAAAAACTCCACCTCTTACCACGCGCAGTTTGGTTTTTCCGTACTGGCAGCGCCATTACTCATTAAAGTGTATGCCACCATATTTGTAGTAAACTTCTGTTGGTCCTACTATGCATAGGTTCACTTCCATGCGTACAGCTACTGGTGGCTGATCGGATGGGGGTTGATCTGTTCGCCGAGCTTGGCGATTGGCTTGCCAAACGTTTCGTCCCCAGTCGAGGAGACATCGTCAGTGCCCAGTTGAATGGGTCGCCAAGCTCGGCGAACAGATCAACTGACATCCGATCAGCCACCAGTAAACACCCAAGCTACCCATATTTCGACAAATTGACATGCGTACAGCTAACTTGCGGTGCACTGTGGAAGTATTAACCTCCCAAACTTTATGAATAATTCAAATTTACCAGTAGGATTATGTGGTAAAGACTGAGTTGTGCCTAAGAACGTCAGAACGACCGCATTAGTCCTATTCGAGGTGCGATTTAAACATGGGACGAAAAATTATTGAAATATACTACTTCCAGTATTCAGGCAGTTGAATATACAAACCAAATTCCTGTTCACCCGTATGTCGACGCTGGATATTCCATCGGCTCTACTCCATAATTTGGTTTCTACAGCGGATTTACCGTATCCATTCATATTTACTGATAGTATTGAATTTCACATGGTGTCTGCCGTGCTAATACTGGAGCAGTCTTCTCGAACCAAGCGTGTGTACCTCATACCACCTGCAGAATTTTTCGCTTCTGGGTACCTTCCTTAGCTCTTTGCTAACAGATGAAACAGTGAGACAGTGTTTTTCGTGATTTACTTCTGAGGGTGCTCTGAGGCTGAGGTCACTGCACATTCCATGCTTGAATTCGAGTATTCTATGGATATCTGCACGATCTTCTTATTGATATTGTTACCGGTGATGACGCATTCGACTGCTGTAAGGCATTTCAAGACTCTACAAGAAAATTTGCCTCGTTTTGTTCTGCTGTCGATCGTTTTTCACACAGTTTGGTTGATAGAAACGTACTACGAAACTTACCCTAAGTACCCCTACCACTACTACGGATTTTGCAATCACATCCTCAACAAGTACCTCGTGATCAAAAGAAAAGTCAGTCACCTTTGGGTGATGATGGCTTTTAAGCGCACAGTTTGAGTACCGTCAGCGAAATAGCCCATGTTATTGAGCAAAAAAAGTTTGTTTTTGAAACACTGATTGAGCAAAGCTATGAAGCGACGAAAGACTCAGCTTGGTACAGCGCTGATATAGAAGTCATATTTTGTACACATATTTGTCATATGTTGTACAGCTTTAGGACCACAGGCTTCAGCTATGTCACTATGACTCCTTAGCGGTTATTGTCATTTGTACTATTGGAAGCAGCAGCCAACAAATGAGTTTGCTACCTAGCTGTGACCAAAATAAGCCGTTTACCATTGGGCGAACGACAAATTAAGTGAATTTAATCTATGTTGAAATGCCAAAACTGGGAGTCATCAGCAATGCAAACCTTAGGGAACTCCAGGGAGCTTCGAATGATCAGCCTCACGGCCAGTAGTCTGAACAGAAACACTCGGATACAAACGGCTGATCAATAATGTGATCAACTCACACCTAGGCTGGTTATAGCGCCACCTGGCCTTCAATCACGGAATCCACATCACGTGGTTGCACGTGTTGATTGGCCCCTCGAGTGGCAGACTTCACGCTTCTTGTGAATTTATTCCTTCCCCGAGCTACTTATGAGTTGTTGGTAGTGTAAAAAAACAAGGGATTTCCCATTGCGATGTGCATCGTCGATGGGTTCCTATGGTGAAGAAACAACTGCACAGCACCCATTGGCTTTTCAGATTGGATTAGCTTCACTTACATGATGAAATCTCCATTCAAAAGTCTTTCTACTACTTAATTCTTGGCCTTCATAGCCTGTTACCTACGTGCCAGTTTGGACATTCAGGACGTAGCAGTGATACACCTGTATGCAACGCACAAACCAGTTAACCAGTTGAGATGAAATCCGGATCGTAGCTTCAGGAAGAAATTTGATACAATTGCACAAAAATTCGTCATAAAATTCAGCCGAGGTACCATGTCCTCCGGGGAACAGGTCATGAGGAAACGTGCGAAATAAGCGCGCGATAATGGAGGACGACCTGCGAGCTGGAAATTGGTTCATAGGTATTTAGTGAATGCGCTCTACTCTCATCAGGCTAGCTCAACAGCGTAGCTGGCCAATATCTGTATACTTGTGCGGTCTCAGTCTTTCCCACCGGGAACATACTGCCGATGTCATCTTGACTGGTGACGAGATGTTTGTAGGCATATTGCACAACTCAGCGAAAAACCACAGATTAATACTGCATACCGAACCATCCATATCATCCTCATCATTCAGAGATTGACATGTGTGGCGAAATCCACGTGGAAGAAAGTGACAAGAATTCGCGCGCATGCGAAGTTCTGTCGCATCTATTATTCGTCAACAGGAGGTAACAAAATAAGGTCATACACTGCATGAACTTTGTAGTATCAAGAAGGTAAAATACTACTTGCGGATTCACTGAGTAGCATTATCTGTACAGTTAACGAAGCCTAAAAACTAACTTCATACCAATGGGACAACGCTCCATGCTGCTTCATTCCTTAAGATGATAAATATCAGTTCAGTGCAGAACATCAGGTGCTGCGAGCAGCTGTTTTTGATTAAGTGTGGACTGGTAATACAGCTATAAATTAACTACATGATTGAAATATTTACACGAAAGCAGTTCAGGCGGTAAAAATTGCTATAAAGTGAGGGTAGTCAGATTACTCAGAAGTAGGAAGAGTGGCCAAGGCATGACCAATGCTTCCACATGACGTTTTAAATGACACAATTTAGTCGGTACAGTCGGATGACGACCGTCTGTGCTGCTGTAATTGCGTTTTTTCTAACGGCCTTGGGATATTTTATTGACACTCAATAAATCAGATTAAATGACCCAGCCGGATCGATCCGGTTTTTGCATCGATCAGGTGGGTCACAATTGTACTCGTTAGATGTTTGGCTCGTCCGGTACCACAGCTTGTCAGTTCACCTAAGATGCCCACTCAGGGTATTGAATTATTCAGCAGTTCTCCAAATTTAGACGGTTCGGGCGAATCCTTGAATTTGATTATCAGTTGAGATGAAATCCGTCTGGAAGTCTGTTGTTTTGTTTATAAATTTTTCATAATTTGCATGGGTTGTCTGATGAACACCAGGTTCAATAGACTTGGATTTGAAGATGTCAGGATGTGGTTAGTTCTGAAAAAGTAATTTCCTAAGAGTAGGATTCAGCATCTGGACGTGGCTGCATCGACCCACACAATGAACTCAACCACTATAGGATAGACAGAGCAGTGTCCTTCCGTGGTCTCGTATAACACGCCGACAAAATGACATAT